TCATGCACCCCACTGCCATGGAGAAGCCCGACCAGGCAAAGGCCTTCCCACGCTCCTGCCCGGGGGGGGGGGGCGAAAGAGGAAGAAGGCGTGCTGGTGAGTTCACGTGGCTCCAGTCTGGAACTGACGCTCCATTTGGAGTTGGAGGGTGTTGAGGGCGGTTGAAAGAGGTGCCGAAAAAGAACAGAATGCAGCGCACATGGGGCGCCCAAATGGAGCGCCCATGTCCAGGACGGTCGGACTTTTGGGAATGACTCGCGAGAAACCATGCAACATAAGGAGCGCAGTACATGAAACATCTACAGATATTCAGAGTAGATGGCACAATCCCCAAATTTGGTGGTTTGTATGGACCCCCATCTAAAGTTTAATCTATAGGGCATTTTGAGGTCTGTGCCATCTACTCTAAGACTCTAAGACCAGCCTGACAATGCTCTGCGAGACCTGTAGGGCTTCAGGAAGAGAACCACTGCCAATGCTGCCAATGACAAGGCATTTGATAGTTTCTCCCACAAAGATATACAAAGATCACCTTCTTGGAGGCTTCGCAATGAGTTGAACTCTATCACCTCCCTTCTTTGGGATTGTGATTTTCTGATCAAAAGCTTCCACAAATATTAAGTTTCGGCCTAAAATCATGGACGGCGTGGCAACACATCAGACCGCCTGCGGTTGTGTGAGGTCAGCGATGAGGGTTTGTGTCGTTGGAGCCAGCGTGGCTAAACAGACTCCATTGATGAGTCGCAGGACGAGGATCCAACCTCAGTTCTCTTCTCTGGATAGAAAGACTAGGCACTCCCCTCTGCACGAGGAAAGCCTCCCAAAACAATGAAACAAGTGGCCCGAAGCCCACTAAACTGGCCATCCCAATCTCAAAATGTACCCCAAAACTGTTGATGCTGAAAGGACAAATGAAAAGCCCATGGCACGACCAATCTGATACCTGCAAAATCTCTCTCCCTCTTCAGTTAAACACCGATAGAAACTTGGCTCTCCCGGGGGTCTACTGCGGAGCAAGGTGACAATCAACCCCCATACCCCCATTCGGCTCCCCTCAAGTCTAAAGTGGTGAAGGAGTATCCAGGCTCCCCCTGGAAACCCCCAAATCGAAGGAAAAAAAGCCCGGCAGACCAGGTCCCACTCCGAAACCCGGTCCCACTCCAAAGGCGCCGAACCGAGGACTGCGCCACCGAGGACTGTCACACCCCACGTCTTCCCACCTCAGACCGTCTAGGTGGTCACCGTCTAGGAGCTGGTGTCATTGATCGTGGCCAAGAAGAGCGTGATCACACCCCATCCGGTGCACCCGGAGAAGAGCACTTGCTGCGGTGTGAAGATGCCGTTGTCCAACAAAACGCCCCAAAAGACCGAGAACGTGGCACCTGGGCAGCTGGCAGCATGGCAGCACGGTAGCTCAGCTCGTGTTTGGTGAGTGAGTGAGTCAAAATCGGATGCAGTCAATGTACTCATCTGAAGGTAGAATCTGGATGAATGAAAGCCGCATAAAGCCGCCTGAGACATGGATTGTAAAGCCTCTTCAAGCTTGGTAAGTTGAAATAAATATAATCCAGATTCTACATCATGCACCCACAGCGTCTATTGCCTTGCACAACATCCGCCTTAACATGCCTTAGCCAAATATGATGGTCAAGTATCACCAGTTTTTTTCAAACCAAAGACTCATGGACTCCATCCTTCACGCCAGCAGCAGCAGCGCATTCTTGTTCACTTCAAGCGCCCAATCATGGATTCGTCTAATGTCGAACAATGGAGGCTATCATGGGTTTTACAGTACATGCAAATTACACATATATACAGGTTTGAACCACACGATGCCTTGGTCTTTCCCTGGCGAGTACAGGTGTTTCATGCTGTTTGGGTTGTGTACAGCTAAGCCTGGGGTTTTCGATCGAAAGGGAACGCTGCCAGAGCCCAAAGAAAAAGACCGTCTGGAAGAAGTGCACCATCACAGGTTTCTCACAGGAACCCCGGTGTCTTTTTCGCCTGAAAAAAGGTCACCACATCATTGACATCATCCACAAATTCTTGCCGTTCTCACATGTTGCCTTCATGTTCCACACAAAACCTGGGCAAGCCCGCGCCGTTCCAACACACCCGTTCTCGCAGCGGCACATGTGAGGCTTTGCATCAATGAAGAGGCGGCCAAGGTCGTGGGCGAGAGGCCCAGATTGGCCTCCAACGCTCGGAAAGATGAAGGGAGGAGCTGCATGTCAGCTCCTGGCGGCCAGACATCACCCTCACCCTGCGGTCAGAAGCACATGCAGAGTACATGAGAAGCATGTTTTGTTTTGACCCGAATACGATAGAATACCCATGACATGGACAAGAGTCAAGTAGAAATCCCAACTCAACTCAACCAAAGCAAGTGGTTCCCACTAGCTTGTCTGGGATCCAAGTTTTGCACCTACTTCCCCAGCTCACCTGTGCACCACCACCTGTTTCCCATCCCATCTCATCCCATCCATCTCATCCATCTCCTTCAAAGAAGTTCACCGCGTAGACCATGGACAAGGTCAGTGCGATCTCCCGCGCCGAGAGGTCTTGCGGCTTCACGGGTGCAGTATCGGGCACACCGAAGCCCAGGCCCTCCGTGTCGCCCTTCATCGCACCGGGTCGCGGGTGGCGAAACACCGCGGACACGGCGGAAGCGGGACGGCGTGGCAGGGGGACTGAGCCAAGCGAGCTGAAGCAAGAAGAGAACTCAAGTGTTTCTGCGGGTCCGGATCTTGCCCCTAAGTTATCTCAGCTACTCCTTGGCAAAGGGAGCAAACATGTTTGATGATACAAGAAGCGCCAGTTTCAGACCATGTCTCCACCAAAAAGTGCTCCTGCTCATTTTGATCCTCACTTCTCTTAGGGCACTTTAGGACTGCACAGGTTTATCCAGTTCAGACTCTCCGTCATGTATTGCACATTGCACCGTGCGCTCGGCCACCCGGCCTTCAGCCGTTCCACCTCCGCCTTCAGTCGAGCCACCTCGCCAGATCAAGGCCCTCTACAACGGGGCCATCTAAGCTGGGAGGCTATATGTCAAACAATGTCCTATCCAAACTTCACCTTCAGCTGACTTCAGCTTCACAATGGCTACGGTTCATAAGTCAAACCATACACATCACTACCCCGACCCGCTTCATCCGGACATCTCGGGACGCTCCGAAGCGAGACCCGAGGCGGCTCCGAAAGAAAGGAGGCTCATCTTTCCATTGGTGTTCGACGTTCGATTGGAGTGTCCATCAATTCCAGCAAGAGACTCGTCACAACTCGTCATAGCAATGGCTATGAGGTAAAAATCGCACTCCTGTGCTGAAAGCACTCCCAACAATGACAGCTGCTGATGCGATTAAAGCTACTACTTGCAGGATGGGACAAATGGGACAAACACCCCAAGTCCTTCCATGGTGTTCATGTGTTTTCCTATATGTGTTCATATTGTTTTGCATGGTTTCAGCCTTTGCCTTAGAATCCAAAAACAGCTTTGAGATGCTTTGAGATGGTCGACTCAGCTCAAAGCCGGTCTCGCAGCCCCCACGCCACTCCCCACTCACTGGCCGTGTCGCCGTGTCGCCGTCACCTCGCCTTCCTTCGTTGTCGCCGGTTCACGAAGGTGTCGAAACCCCTTCCCTCCCCCTCTCCCTGAAACTGTTCAGGGTCTCAGGACCTGAACCTTTTCTGCACTTCTCCGTCCCTCGCCTCAGCGAGCAGGTCAGGGTCTTCCGAAGAGCCACATCTCCACAGCACGCCCACGCCCAGCCAGCGCCATGGCACCATGGCCCACCCATCCGCCGAAGGCACCAACCAACGAGCACGACGAGTTCGCCGCGTGGCACGGAAGTCGGAGCTTGGTGGTTTGGTGGTTCCAGGCTGGAAGTGGTTTGGGTGGCATAAGGAAATGGAGCCGCCAAGCTGGGCGCCTGGGCCGGGTTGAGAGGCACTGGCAGAAACTGCCAGGCGGCACTGGCACTCCACGAGAGGTTCCAGACTTGTGAGGTCGAGTCTTGAGAAGATTTTCTACAGGGTCGACCTGGAAATGTGGCGCCGACCTGCAACCAGGAACCAAATTTAGACGTTTCGTTTTCCGTTCAAGCGACTGAATGCACTCGACCTGGCTATGGATCAAAAAGCGAGACACAAATGCCTAACCTCGATCATCTACCTTTACAGGTTTGATAGGGACCTAAATCCCCCCATGATCTCATGTGATTTCAGCATCCTGTGTTGTGGAGCGAGTCAGCTAATCAAGCTTTTGTGGGTGTTTGTTGGGTTCGTGCACCCCACAATGCAGCGTCGAGGGAGGCCACGAAATCAGTGGTGAAGGACTGTCGGATGTCGCTGGAAAATGCTGTCCATGCTGTCCATGGCCTTTGTGTTCTGACGAGCCAACATGGTTTTGGGACCAGCATTCATTGGGCAGAATTCGGCATGTTCCCTGGCGGGAGGAACCACCAAAACTGGGGACTGCAGGGCACGGACTCTGGAAGAATTGGAGTTTGTGGATGTCGCAGCCATTTTTCGTGGAGGCTCTATCCAGCATCACACCAAGCAAGAAAGAACCATAACCATCATAAAACGCCAACTTCGCGCTGTTGCTGTTGTCCTGTGTCAGTGCTCTTCTATGTCCTGCTTTCATTCATGTTGATTTGAAGGCTTGCCACTAGACACTCCATGACACAATTCTATACTTCATCAGAACCCCCACTGAAGAGAATCGTTTAAAGTCTGCTAAGGGCCTGATCCTGATCGCTACACGTCGAACCACCGCCGCTACCGTCGCTACCCGCGGGCGGCGCATCCTTTTTCTCCATGAAACCGAGCCACCAGAGGTCATTCTGAGTTCGCTCTGCTCTAAAGTCACACACTGAAGACGCCCTGAAGCACATCCCTCCGCTCTCAGCATCTACCATATATACTGGATCGGGGTCTTCTCAATGTTCGAGGCACCCCAGCCACTTCATAAGATGTTGGGGGCTCTTTAAGCTCTTTGGTCGTTTGTGCTGGACTGTCTTCAGTCTGCGAAAAAGCTAAAAACGGATGTTTGCTGGGTTCGCTGAGGCTCTCACACGATTTATGCGGTGCCTCAAGGTTACCATTCTAACCCCGCACGCAGCAGGGAGAATGGTCTGGGGGTGAAACTGCTTTAAACTTGGTCCAGCACTTCGTGGTTTCATCGACTAATTGCTTTTGGGCTGTGGGTCAAACCGTTCCAATGAACCCAAAGCCTTTCTTCCCGTGTGCTGTGCAGCCGCCTGGCCACGTTTCCGTTCCCTGTTGACCCGCACGAAAAAGCTTCGCTGAACACGACGGAGCGCCGCAGATTCACAGGCCGCATCAGGCGGAAGGATGTCCGGGCGCATCGGGAATCCTCCGCGGAAGGAAGCGATGCGCTTGTTTCAAGCACCGGTGCTGGATCACCTCACGGACACCATGGAGGACACCATTCGGAAGTCTGTTTGATGCCGAAGTCGATGTGTCATCCTCTGGTCTTGCCCCGAAAAAAGGATCAGCTGGCCGTGGGAGGTGACGGATATATGATGAAATTGTCATAATTTACATGACAATGACAATTGAACTGGTGACAAGTCCTTCCTGGACCCTTGGTAAGAACGAGAAGAACTGCTTGAGGAGTTTGGTATGTTTCTAGGACCTCCTTGGGTTAAAAACACCGTTGCTGCCAAGGGATTCCATTTTACCACCCGTGAGGGTCTCCTCTTATGAGGATTCTTGGTCAACATCTGGGTATGGAGGGTATATCCCGATCCTCTGTGTCGTTCTGTCCACTCTGTCTTTGCATGGTCTTTCCCGGCCGCCGACGTCCACGCCTGCCGTCATCCATTGAAGTTCAGCGACCTCGGCGAACGAAATCGACCGGAAGGGTTCCATGGCAAGACATGGATTTGCTAGAATCTGTTTGAGGGTGACTGATGGTGACTGTGGTGACTGTGAAAGACCACGTGACCTGAAAGTGGTTGGTTGATGTTGTTTGTGTCATGAACTCACTAGGAGGTGGTGTTTGTTCACCAACAGGAAGTGATTTTGCACGTTTTTGCACCACACTTCAAAGGCTACTTGTCCAGGTTAAATGGAATCAGATCCTGGTCTGCTCTGCTGCAAATACCACCTCCATGGCTTGTCAAGGATTCCTTGTTTTCATCTTGGTAGTCCTGCTGCATGGTGATCCGCACCCACTTGGGCCACTCCGAAAAAAACACCATATAAACCTGAAAAGAAAACACCGAAGCTCCCGGCCGCCTGGGACGTGTTTTTTTCGACTTCCACCATCTTCCACCACCGCCCCCAGTGAGACCTCAGATGCTTCGTTCTGATCGTTCTGATCAGCGGCTGGAGTGGATGCGACTGCGTTGGAGCCCACATCACCGTGCGGTGCCGTGGGTCTGAGCCGCCGCACTCGCCCGAATCCTCGAAGATGTTGTCATCGTCGTCGTAGCTGGCAGAAATCGGACCTTATCGACCAGGCCCAGTGCATCGCCCCAGGCAGTGGTGCGTTGGGACGGCACAAAAGGGACGGCACAGAGGGACGGGGAAGATCTGCAAATTTACGGCGCTTCTCGGCGAAAATGTTGAGTTGAAGCCCTCTGTTTGAGGTGGGAATATTCCTTTCTACCAGAATGGCCAGCCGTTCTTAAAAAGGACAGGCTCGCATGGCTCGTCTCACGGCTCTACCCCCCGACCACCGAAAAACGTGAAAAAACGGCGCAACGACAACAAGCGCAAGGGCGGCATATCGGCCGTGAGGCAAAAACAACCGAACAGTGATGACGGGCTGGCTAGAAGTGGCCGAGGTTTTTCGGGAGGGCACACCACGCAAGCGGCAACCTTGCATGGTGGTGACTGTTTTGTGGTTCTGTTTTCCGACAGCCGATCAATCTCCGAATCTGTCAGCATAAGCCGCGAGCCAGGGTCTGGCTAGGCTGACCAAAGCGGAATTGGTGCTACTGGATGAAATCGAATTGAATATGTTGATGAGCATGTCTTGAACAGAACTCTCATCTGCCACATCTTCAAACTCTTCGACGTTAGCCTCTGTGTTGTTCTTGGATTTCTGCATTGCTTTCTGCATTGCTATGGCATTGCTGCAAGGCTGGGCGTTTCTTATGCCTGCTTTCGAAACAACCGGCTCTGCCATGCTCTGCCCGGTGAACCACCACCAGGCATCCCGGGCTCAAGGGAGTGGTCCCATCTGGCAGCAACGACGTTGGCCCAACGCCTTCTAGTGGTGCGCCCGGCCGGAACGGGCGCAGCAAAAGGATCGGCTGCACAACGGCTTGGTTTTGGGGTTTTCATGGTGGTCACCGGGCAGGAGGGAGAACGGCAGGGTGTGTTTGGATCGGAGGCTGGTTAAACAGGGCTTTACTCCAAGAACCTCTTGGTCTTTTTCCGACACCAGAATGTGTTCAATGGTTCAAGATGGCCTATCAAATTTAGCCAACCCCCTCTCCAATCTGAACGCACTTAGGCATGAATGTCCGCATGAGGATCTTTCATTACGATATGTCGACCCACTCACACCTCTTTAACCAAATGTGGTCCCTCAAACATCTACTTTTTTAATGAAAGATCCTGCAAAAAAATGGGGATTGTCATGGATTGTCCATACATGGTGTTCCTTCTTCATCACCTGTGCACCACTTCACTCTCCCCAGCACCCCGCACGCGCCCACCTTCCCCGCCTCGGATCCCGAAACCGCCGCCGGGCTCGCGCGCCGCGGCCGCCAGCGCCGCCGCGGCCGCGCGGTCCTCGCCGTCCACGCGGTCCTTGTCCGCGTCCAGGGGCGGATCCTCGAGGTCCTGCGACGGACGCGTCCAGGGTGATCTTGGAACCACTGGTGTTTCCAGTGCTTTTCGAAAGCCTTGTGGTGGAAGACCATCGACATGGAAGAACTGGTGTGAGCTTCGGATTTTGCAACACAAGAAGTCTACTGAGAGTCTGGAGCTTTTAGTCAAGTCCAGTCTATGTGTCCATTCAAAGAGCAGCCTTTTGAGAGTTGCTTAGACCTCAACTTGCCGCAGCTGTCAACACAACGCAAATACAACACAACAAATCACAACAGCTCGTATTTGCTTGCAGTTCTACTTGCCTTGCAGTTCTGCTGCCTTTCCGTGAAACCCGCTAGGAACCGTGCTCCTCCTCATCATCTTCAAAGTCTTGAGTCCACCTTTTGGGCTGAGCAACGCCACCCGCTGCACCCCCACTGGCCGCACTCGCCGTGCTGGGCGGCGAATCCGCCGCTGTGTGGGTGGGCACGTTGGATGCGTTGGGCGCGTTGGATGCAAAGGAGTGCAGATCCTCGAAGTCCTCCTCACAGGGGCAAGTTGCAGGGGTCAATGCACAGACTTCTTCAGGAAGGGCAAGTTCGACATCTTCAGTTCTGAAGTTCGACATGGGCTTCATGTGATGCTGGAAGCAGAAGTAGCTTTGTAGAGGGGGGACCTCGTTTCTACCAAAAGTATCCAAAAGCTCAATGTTCAGGTCGTCTTTGAAGCACAACGGATTGCCCCCTGCCTCGTAGTCGTTTGACGCCTCAACATCCTCCTCGGTGGGGTCCTCATGAATCTCTTCTTCATGTAAGGCCTCTTCCTCCTTCACATCCTCATGCAGCTCATTCACATCCTCCTCGTTGGTCAGTTCATTCACATCCTCATGCTGTTCATCCACGGGATCACTGGCAACATGAGTCAAATGACTCGGTGCTGGTGCCTCATTGTGCATGGATGGTGCAGATCCTGGAAGGGAAGGAACACTGGAGTTGTGCTCTTCAGATGGTTTCTCAGATTTCTCAGAGGAAGCAACCCTCTCAAAGGGCTCGTTATCATACTCATCGGCATCCCCTTCCTCTGATTCGGGCTCGAAGTCGTCCTCCATCTCACTCTCACTCCTGGCAAGGCCAAAACGGCCAAAACACAACGAGTCACCAGACGCATGGCCTTCAGGCGGCCTTCGTCAGTCGCCTCCCAAGCAAAATCTTCCCGAGAAGTCACCTCCCAAAGTCACCTGAAACATCGTTTTACAAGAAAAAGATAGATAAATATATCCCGTCGGGTTGCCTTCTTCGGATTTTTGGGGATTGTCAACCTTCAAGGAGTCAGTGCAACAACTACTGAAAACCTCCGAGTTTCAGGGCATCTGACTTCCAAAAAGGATGTGCATTCAGGTGGTCTCTCCATTTGGTTTCAAGTTCAAACTCACGTGTCGCAAGTGCCACAACATCGGACAAACTGTTCGACGACCGGCGCGGTGGCCCCCGTGACCCGCCTTCCCCCATCATGCCGCCCTTCGGACGGGTCCTCTCCGGCTCCTTCTTCGGACCCTTTTTGGGAGAGGGCTGGCGCGAGGTGATCCGAGAGGAATCGGCTTCGTCTTCAAAGACATCACTGTAATCTTCAGCCTCTTCAGGCTCATAGTCATCTTCATACTCCTGGGAGGAAGAAAGCATCACAGAACCGCTGAAATAAGAAGTTTAGCCCCTCCTGGAGGCATACAAAGTCACAGCAAACGACTGAAATGACCAAAATGACTGTTGGGTAAAGTTGTTGTATAAGTCTTGCTGGGCCCGGTAGGGGCTTCCGGTGCAGCGAATTCATTGACGATTTATCCGATAAGTATGACTCCAAAAAGAAAGTTCAAACCCAGCCAACGGTCTGTGACTTTGGGTATATGAAAGAAACAATTACCTATACAATGGATTTGGAACGCATTCAACCTTGGAGACCTCGCCTTATCCACGGATGTTGCTTGAGTCGGGTGTGGCCTCAGCCACGAACTCTCTTGATGCTTCCGGGGGCACTTTATGGCGTTGCTCGGAATCCACTCGTCCCCCCCCCAATGGGCGGATTTCGAGCGCCAGAGCCGTTTGGTGGTCCAATAGCAATGGACCTGGTGGCCTCCAACCTACTAGCGATGGCCTCCAGTCATGTTGGTGTTCCAAACACTGACCTTCCCACGCCATGGCGGCCCGAGCCCGTCCGCTCGGACGACGCGGTCGCGTCGTCGCGCCTGGCTTTCGTCCACTTCAGGCCGAGCCTTGCCTTTCTCCTGCCAGTTGATTCAGAAGCCGAGCCAAAAACCAAGCAAAATGCCAGTGCTTGGGGAGACCAGATACCCAGAAACTTCCTCTAGCAGACTCTGTCTTGATAGGAAACACTCAGTTTCCACTGGTTGCACCAGGAGACTTGGGAGAACGTTCTCAGTTTTTCCCCCTGAAAAAGTGCCCCGGCAGTGCCTTGGCCACTTCATCATCTTCGAAGTCGGGAGGATATTCCGCGTCCTCATCATTCGAGTCACCTCGCAGGGAAACACTGGAAGTTCGGAAAGAAAAGAACACACAAAAGCACCATGGAAAGAGGGACAACATCAGCCCAAACAGAAGTGTCTGGCGGATGACCTCTGGTAGCCAAAAACCTATCGGTTCAACATTCCCTCCATTAACCTGCGATGGTCATGGGAGAAAATCCGACAAACAAAGCTGCCAAATGTTGTGGTTAAGGAACCAAAGAGCCGGAGCACTACCTGCCTTCAACCCATGCAAATCCCATGTCCATCAACGATGCGGCTTGGATCAGTTGGGTCATGGAACCCTGGCTGTGGCTCTCAGATTTATGAGGATCTAAAAGTACAACCAATTTGACTATCGATGTGACCAAAAAAACACAACAAAGCTGTCGATGTTTCCCCCCAAAAAAACCGAACTTTTTCCAATGCCTTCCACCTGTACAGCCTGTAACTGCAAAAAGAAAACACTTGATCAGCCGCCCTCGCCCTGGAAGATCGGTGGATCCCAGACCTGGCATCTTCCCTTCACTGCGAATCTTCTGAAGCACTCGCTCCTCCATCCGCTCCAGCTCGGCATGAGCGACCTGGCGGATCTGTTCGGCACCGGTGGCGCCGGTCTGGTGGTGAACTCGCCCGGGTGTGGAGCAAATATGATCCTAAAGCAATCACGGGCCACCCATATATGAAGTTCTTCTTATTTACATGTACAGTATGTTGTCTTGGATGGATCCTCTTCATGGCTACCATGGATAGTGGTGAGCAGAGGCCTTTTCCGGCCATTGCCGTTGCAACACTGTATACCGAGTCACCAGAAAGCTCTGGTTCTTGAACGACGTGCCGCAGCCCGAACCACCAAGCAGACGTGACTGGACCAAACAAAAGCTCAAAAACCTGTGCTCTCTGCGTGTGTGTTCTTTTTTCTGGCTTTCCCCTTCTGAATCAAACACATGGCCCCTCACCAGTCAGTGGTTTTAGGTCCTGTTTCGGTTTCTCCGCACGTTTCGGTGGAGGCTCCGCTCGGGTTGCGTTCTGCCTTTTGGGCACGAAGGGGTTCAGGAGTCTCCACTTGGCGCGGATCCTGAGAACGAGCGAGCTCGACATGGTGGGTGGGGTGAGGAGGCTCACAACAACCACCGCAAGGGGCTCAGTGTATAGGGGTGTGGACAAAGAATGTTTGTAGCTGCGAAAACAGAATCCAATGGTTTTTCTTAAAGGTTCTAAGTATTTGTCCGTGGTAATAGGGGTGGGGTGGTGGGTTTGAGGGTTTCGTTGGGTTCGAGGGCTGCTGCGTGAAAACCACTGCAGGCTCCACACATCTCGGCCGTCCTCATGTTCGTCCGGATCCCCTCGTGCTCCTGGCGGAGGTCGTACGTGCACTGGCGGCTGCCGTGGTCAAGCACCCCTCGGTCTGTGCGGTGTCATCCCGAAAGAAAGCCAGGAAACGATTCTGCCAGTACGATTCAACACGGTCACTTGCTTGGAGAAAAGATACTGACAAAAGACGTCTTCAAGACGATCTAGCCTCAGCTCGTTTGGAATGCCTAACGAAAGAATCGCGACGGCGCATCTCCTTGGCTCACTTCTCCTTGACTGTTGATCTTATGCAACACGTTCTGGTTCACCTTCTCGAGCTCTGTGCGAGCTGCCTGACCCGTTTTTTTTCCGTGAACATCTCGGTGCATGTCGGGCCTCCAAAACAGAATCAGCGTCTGAAACGCTGTCAAAAAACATGGTGAGAGACTGAGAGAATAGATCAACCACCACCCATGAGGGCAAGCCCTGATTCAATAGCTTACAGTAACTGTCTCACTGTCTTAGCCTGTGCATATGTCTTTGACCTCGGCTCCAGCCAAAGGTTCCAAGTTTGACGGAAAAAGATCGGGTCATTGATGAAGCATCGGATCATTGCTTCGAAACTAATTCTCAAGGAGTGTTCCCAAAGGCAGTTCAGCTTTTTCGGTGTCTTATTTGAGGGAGGGTGACCATTCCCGTCATTTATATATCTTACTTAAGAGTCTTAAGAGATATAGGCCCAAAGTGTGCCTTTTCTTTGGGAATGTATTTGCAAGATTCATGTGACTAAAGTATCCCAGAACTTGGCCTCTGTTCAGAAACACGAACACAGGTCTCGTCGCCCGGAAAAGCAAAGCAACCAGGTCAGTGCAGTGAACCCATCGACGATCGCCTTGTTCGGCTCACAAGGGGCACAAACACAATGCCTTCCCCTGATGAATCCTGGACTTCCAATGGTTCAATGCTCCTGCCATGCTTCTACTGTCTAAATCCCCACCCCAGCCACTCATCTCCCAACCCACCCAACCGCACCCAACCGCCTGTTTGGCGCTCTTGAGCGGTTCGGGCGTCGAAGTCTTCCTCCGCCCAGAGGATTCCTCTGCTGTCTTCACAGAAGACTCCTGCAAGGTCTGCGAGGTCTCTGCGCCCGATTTCGGGTGGAATGGGAGGACTTCGCCAGGGGGGGAGGGGAGCTTTTTGGATGGAAGTCTTGGTGTCTCAAAGGAACTTTGGGGGACTTAGTCTTGCTTGATGCCACTGCAAAAAGCTCCAAAAGTGCATCTGGCCAGACCATCCCAGATGATCCCGGATGCACTTACTGCCAAAAACCCCGGTGGTTTCGATGAAATCCTTAGCAAAAGGCACACCTCCGGCTTCTCCCCGAGGCCGGGCACGCACGACGCACCCCTCGGTCCCCAGACCTCCTCTTTGGAACCACCCGAGCTCTTGGCGCCCTTCGACGGCCTCGCCTCGAGGGGTCAGTGCAGCGAGGACGGTGGGGGGGATGGGCGATGGAACCTGCAAAAGCCACCAGCCACAGCACCCACAGCACCCACTCACATCGCTCCATGGAGCGTCTTGAGGTGGCTCTCCGGCCTCCAAGGCTTTTCGCTTCAGGTTGCGAGGCGCTCGAATGGGCGGCGGGGGGATCCTGCGCCGCCAGGCGTGCGGCCATGCGGCGTGCGGCCAACCGCACAGGCGACGGCACCGGAGAGCCCCGCACGGGATGGTTGAGTTGGAGTTGGAAAGATTCAGGAAGGGTTTCTTGAACTAGTAAGCAAATAGCTAATTGCTATACTGGCTTCTTGCTACTAGTAGGAATGGCCTCCACCCTAGTAGCGATGGCCTCCACCTAGTAGCGTCCTTGGGAGGGGTCCGGTGCCTACATTGGAAGAATGTTGGCCAACTAAGCCTCCGTTGCTGGTCTTGGCCATCTACGAAGGGTTTCTTGAACTGAACCCGGCGTTCTTTTGCAAGATGGCCTCGAAGTACGGCGACCCAGGGAAGGAGCGGCTGTAAAAAGAAATCGATCTGCACTGCACTGCTTTCAGGCTTGACTTCACAAACTGCACTATACCCCAGCTATCGGAGTGTTCCTTTTTCTTGCTGTCCTGAAATGAAAACTGAGTGCTCAGCGACCAGACGCGGCTGCCGAGGAGAGACTTTTGTGGCTGGCATCTCCAGTGTCTTCCGCAGAGCTTTGCACAAAAACAGGACGAACCTGTCAATACCTCTTAGTCCCACGAAACCAGACAGGACCCAGGTTTGTGGGCCTTTGCAGTCTTGTCGCCACATACATGGACAGCAAAAAGAAAAAGACGACACACCCACCTTTTTTTTCTAATCCGCCCATCTGGGAATCCAAAAGTGAAGATTTAAGAGCAGGGGTCAGGGGTCTCAAAATGCGTCAAACTTCTGGATGAACGCCCAATTTTAGGCTATACTTCATATACTTCATATCCAACTTCTTGACGGATGCCATTATGATACCCATCTTATGCCCCTATCACTCGGAAGTCTCTGATCACGAAGGAGAGGTGGCCAGGTGGCCCGTACGTCATGTCGACCCCTCTCCTGAACACATCAGCTTTGTGCAAGGGCCGCCGAAGCCTGGAATGCCTCAACAGTGCACTGTATAAGCTGTCAGAAGTCACTGGAATGCCTCAAGTCGTTGGGTCCGTCGGTCCAAGAGTATATCAATGTCCTTTAAAAAATAATGTTTTTGTTCTTCTACTGGTGGATCATTGAAGCTGGGAAAGCAGCTGGCCGAAAGCGACGTGGCGAAATCGACATGCGAAAATCGGCGTGGCGACAGGTCGCTGCGACGGCGCACCCCTCGAGGTCGCGGTGGCACGTTTGGTCTATCGAAGACCGTGAAGGTCGCAGTCAGGGACACCCTTACGGACATGGAAAGGGAAGAACTTTTGAAAGAGAGCTCGATTCTCTGTCACGTTTGGGGAATGTGGGGAATCACACTCCTTTGTGGGGTTGAATGAATTCCTGGTGACAGGTTGACAGGTTGTCGCGTCAGAATCAAAGCATTCTAGCAAGGCTTCGCGATGTAAAGCCAGAACATGTTTTGCTGCTCCTGCCTGTGCACCAGCGTTGAATACACCTGGCATGCCAAACAACGGAGACCGCACACATACATGCCGGAGACTGCGTTAGAAGAGTCTGTTTTTTGAAACCCTGCCATAAACCAAGGAGGTTGTAGAATTGCGCATCGTAAAATCATCCCAACCCCCTTGTCTCTTTGAAGCAACCCCACAAACCAAGCTTTTTCAGTCGATGTCCTTGCACATCCAGACCCCTTTCATCTTCCCAGATCTTCTGAGACAGAAGAATCACCCTCCCCCCACTCCTGGGACCGTAATAACCCGGGCCACCACTCTGGCCATCTGGCCATCTTCCCACCCACCGATGGCCTGGTATCGCGACTCCAGCTCCGCACGCGTGCTCACCGTGGGACCGATTCCTGAGCCACACCGACCCAAATGACCTCACGACTGGAAGGAAGGACCGACCTGGGCGACCTAAGTCATGGATCTAAGGAAGGGGGCCTGAATTTTTTTTCAGGGGCCATGTGGATGTTGACACCATCGACCTGTTTTTTTTGAAGTTTGGAGGAGATCTCTCATGAAGAGAACGAAAAGAGATCGAAAAGAGAACGACCCAGTGCTTTTTGGATCCTCCGACCTGGCGTTCGGCGTATCTTTCTTTTTGGGGTGCGCTTCCTGGTCTGAACACCAGCGGTCGTTCCGCGAGGTTCCACTCATCACAGGTGCCTAGTCCGGCCTACTACGGGCCTACGGGGCCTAGGTTCTCAATAGAAGAGGCGCATCCATCGGGATGGTCTGCCGAGGCACTGATCAGGCGGTCAAGCAGAACCTTGTTGTCCTCACCGCAGCGATGGCTGGGAGGACCATGAGTCGGAAGCAGTGCGCGAAGACGGACAGACGTCTTGCGCAGCGACATCGACAGCCCACTACACATGCACCGGGGTGGTGCAGACATCATTACCCAAATCCATGTGGTGACCCGGTCACCAAGTGAGAACTGCTCCCACATCACAACCGGGCAAAACAGCGGACATAGGACCCAGAGACCCAGTGACCACATGTTTTCAGAGGACGGGTCCATCAATGCAGCTCTCATCTGCACATCTTTCCATCACACAAGCCAGATGTCGGAGCGATCGGACGCGACTCGAACGGGGCTCCTGGCCTTACTACGAACGGAGCATTTCGGGCATCGCTACTAGTAACAAAGGGCATTACTACTAGCAACAAGAAGCTACAAACGGGGCTCCTGGCATCGCTACTAGGAACAAAAGCATTTTGGATTTTGGGGCCGAGCTGGTGAGCCGTCCGTCGTCCGACCGGGTTCCGTCTCCGAGCGGTCGTCCGATGGGTCCCGTCCTGGTCGATCTGCCGAGCAGCTCGCCGGCGGAAACCCAGATTCAGGGAACCTGCCAAGCCAGGTGCTCAAGCAGTGAAGCAGTGGGCTGAGGGTAGAATCTACCAAGGTAGTCACCGACTTCGAGCAGCTGTTGGAGTAGTGAATAGTACTCCTCTGTGTAGTTGCAACCATCTCCACAACAACAGCGCAAAGTCCCAGCAAAAGCAATGCAGTGGTGCAGCAGTTGTCGTTCCATTTAAGGACTTGGATTGATTGAGCTGCCCAACAGTCCTCTCCAGAACTGCAAGTTTCATCTCCTAGGGGTCATGGTCGATGAGCAATTTCTCAGCCCATACCCTTTGAAACCAAATTCACTCACCCCACCTGAGGCCCCCTTCTTGGCCTTTCCCCCCCCACCCTGCTCCGCCAGATCCCCCAACACCCCAGATCCACCTGCCGGAGCTGAGCCCGGTGGCTTGGACACTTTCGCGGCCAACTGATGTTGCCGACTCTCCGAGTCCTTCATCACCTGGAGCGGAACCGCGGCGCGGCACGCGTGGCACGCGTGGCACGTGTCCTGACAGGGGCAAAGACGTTGCACAGCTCTAAAAAAGATACCCTGCACAGTGGCAAAGGCCATCTGCTGTAGGCCAACATCGACGTTGCATAAACTCTGGCGTTTTTGTTTTTTTGAACGCAAGCGCCAGGACCCTCGTAAGTTCATCGAGAAACTACAACGTGCTGTGAAACATGCAAATGCATGCTCATTGCAGTTTTGTGAGGCAAACGTGCAAAAGCAACAGGATTTCCAATAGTTAGCCTCTGACTGGATATGTGTACGTCCTTTGGCAGCTCTGTTATTCTGCAAGTCTGGAGTTCTCTTGTTATGTAATGTGCAATGGCACTATTGAAGCCAAGCATCGTTTCGCTTACACTATTGCAATTGCTTTCTACAAGTAGGTTGGAGACCATCGCTCTAATGTAGGTTGGAGGCCATCACTATTAGGTTCCTTAAAGTCCGTGTCCAAACCTTGCGCGGCCGTCGAAGTCTGTGACTCGTCCGCGAGTCACTTGGGACCACCGAAGGGTTTAACGAAGACTTGGCCTTGGCCTTGGCTGTAGATCCTTTACCGAGGGTTTAACTTCAAGTGTCCCTTCTAAGCCAAACGTGTCAACAAGCATACAGTAGTAGTAGTAGTAGTAGTAGTAGTAGTAGTAGTAGTAGTAGTACTAAATCCCTTATGAACCAAAAAGGGGGGCAAGGGTCTAAGTTAAGAGTGTACCAAAGGGAGGCATATAGTGCTGAGTTGGGAAAGTCGGGAAAGGCCCAACCAGTGAAGTTATGGGAGAGGGGTCGATTTAGCGCAGACCGTCAACCAGGACTGTCCGTTGTTCACCTGGGAGGTACTCCCCTTTATTCATCAACCATCAACCAATAGCTGGTGTCCACGCGAACCGTGCCCAGCCCTGAGGCCCCAAGCCAAACAAAGGCGCTCCACCATGCGTTGGTTGTCACGCTTCAAGCTATCAACAGCCTGACGTGCAACACGTGTGTGCAACACGGGGACGCGTGTCACGCGCGGGTTGTCAGGGGGCTCACAGCTTCTGAAACCTGAAAAGAAGGACCCCCAGTTGGAGCCTTTGCGAACGTTCAAAATTATGACACATTTAACCAAAGCAAGCATCAGGAGCTTGCAAGATGTGGGATTCTGCCTGGATGCGAGGCTAAGCTCAACATTCCTTCAGTCATGCCTCACACCTGACAGAGCTTCAGACCTAACAGTCCGTTGAAGAACCGTTGAAGAACCCAAACACTACATGCAACTATCTCAAAACCCTTTCAGATCTATCTCAGACTATCTCTTTTTCGACTGAAGCCTCGAACCAAGCCCTCTGAACCCGACAGGGAATGGAACAGCACAGCGCAATGTCCGGTGAGCTCTTTGGCTTCAAACCGAACAGAACACCGCCCTTTCCGCCGCTGGGCGAAAGCCTCCTCCTTCCGCTTGGCCCGGGAGACCCGCATGGCCTCGGCACCTGAGTGGCAAAACATTTGTGAATGAAAGTCAATGTTGACTCTTTTGGTGAACAAACGGGCTGATTGAAATCCAAAATATGGGAGAAAGTTCTCTATTCATCAAGGATCCATTCGTGTTCTTCTCATGTTTCCTCTCTGCTCATCCGTTCCGTGCGAAGTCGAGTCGAGTCGAGTCGCTTTGTTCGGGAGCCCCGGACGCGCGTGCATGACTTCGGCCTGGCGCTCTGTCTCCAAGGCCTCCGACGGAAACACCGACGCGGGGTGTGACGACGTCGGACATTCCCAACACGGTTGGCGTGTTTGTCGCGCGGTTCGTGAAGGCTGGGTTCGTGAGGCCTTGAGGTTTAGCCTTCCGAACCCCCGTTGATGCCAATCGGAAATCCAGAAGAGGGAATCTGGAATCTGAGAGAGAAGTAGGGCTGAAGAGCGATTGCTGAAGGTCTCCTTTCTTTGGCCCATGGCTGTACCAGGGTCTGGCATGCTTCAAATGGCTTCAGCACAAAGACTTGTTGCTCTTGCAGTTGGGCTGGTCAAGAAACATGATCCAAAACTTGTTGTAGTATATAGTGCTCCAACTTTGTTTGTTGGACTGTGAGTGAGTTTCCCAGTGTCCTTCACCACACTAACGCACCCAAATGCTGAGTCATGCGAACTCAGCTCAGTTTCCACCAGCTTCCCTTCACTCGTTCTACACCTTTTGCTTGGCATTGAAAAGCTTTGGCTTTGAAAAACATACAAACATCTCCTTGTGCCGAACTTGGGGCCCTGGCGTCATAGTAGGATTCGGCATTCTCCACCCTTTGCCTCCATTCGTCATAGTCGGGCGGACGGGCACGAGGAGGGCACGAGGAGCATCGGTTTAAAAGGCGACTTGTTTCGCCTCACCCGAAGAATCCTCTGACTGGGCCTTCTTGGTCTTAGCGGGGCTCAAAACCTTCTCCTTCTTCTGGCTCGTCCAGGCAACCCGAACCAAACCCTTCCCAGTGGTGGCATGGATTCTTAGGGCAGAAAAAGAAATGGACATCGAATTTCAATGACGTCCGCTTCCTCGAAATGGTCGAGATCGTTCAAAGAACTCGGAGAAAACATCCTGGTCGGAGAGATTTTCTCTCCATTGCCAACACCTCTTATGTGTGTGTGGAACTGCAAAAAACTTGGCGATGGTTTCACTGCCTATCACTGCCTTTGTTTTTGACTGACACCACCAACACCCGGCCTGTGGGCATAAATCACTCGGTGCAAATGCTGGAAGCGTAGACGGTCTAAAGCCACCAGCTCCTGAGACAGCGAGCGACCACGTGGTAGACTGGTCTCTTGAAAAAGGGAATCCCGCAAAATGTTCACATCTGGAAGAGCGGGAAACCTCTCTCTGAAGATGCATTGTGTTCTGCCTTTTGGAAGCGGGTGAGGTGAAGATAAGGTAAGAACTGAGGCCATCAAACCGGTAGCTGGGGAATGCTCCTGTTCCTTTCTTGCTTGACGATCTTCTCACCACACGTGACTTTGCAAAGTCTCAAAGCCACAATGTCAAACAGCACGAATGTCAAATGCCTGTTTTGCTTGATTTGGTGCTTCGCGAGGGTTCTGAGGTCAAACCTGGACATTCTGCTCAAGCAGCCCAAACTGTGGCAGATCGGTGGCATCTGCCGGTGTTTCCAAAATGAGCACTCACCAATTCTGCACGTGTTCACCTATTAAGGTCCCTTTGTGTCTTCTTGTTCTTTCATGAGTCATGTCTCGATTACTTGTTTCGAGCGATAAAACTTCGAGCTTAATCAACCAGCTTGAGGTGGATACATACTTCGTTGATCTTTGTTGTATGCGAAATAAATCCCAGCAGCCGGGATTAAGTTCTCTCTCTCCGGTTATGCTACCGACCAACCTCTGCAGATCCTGGAGATCCTCACAGAAGCAACCTTCCAACACACCCCAGACCTGCCTCCGCCTGATCCCAGGCGGGCAGGCGCTCCTGGATGAGGCGAGGGCTGGCAAGGCGGGCAGGAAGATCGATGGGTTTGACCACCAGGACCTGGATGGGTTTGAATGGTCGAGTTAGCTTGTAGTTGGTTGGTCAGTGATGTTCCACATATTCCTCCGACTCCAGAATGGCTCTTGGGCTCCAAGAAGTTACATTTTATACTCCAGAATAGCCATAGACTGCACCAACAGTGGTCCCCAACAGATAGAAACGGTGTCCAATACATGTTAAAAGGGACTTTACTTTCCTATCTATTTGAGGGTCGATATTTATAATATACAGTGATACAGTGTTTCAGCCATTGTTCTTCTGTGGATGCTTCTCAGTTCCCACCCAAACAATTGCATTAAAAAAAACACCAAAAACACCGGAGGACGTCCGCCTCCAGCGTTGGAGGCCTGGAACGTGAAAAACCGGTACCATCGGTATCATGAGTTTCAATTCGAGCCGATTCTGATGATTTTAAAAAATAACCATCCTGGAAGACCCTCTGCATCTTGAAAGACCTTTGGATTCCAGGAGGAACATCACCAACCTGGTGTAACCCACCCTCCCCCAACACGTCAATTGAATTTTATGAATGGACCCTCTTCTCTTCTTCTCTTCCTCACCTTGGCCACGGACAAGGCACCGACCATTTCGCCGGAGCCCGCCCGAGCCCGCGCCCGGCTGGAGATGATCGTGAAGAAAATCGTGAGCCAGGGAGCATCCAGCAGATCGAAGCATGGACCCCATGTGTTTAGATTGGAAAAAATCAAACAGGATTCTGTATTCTGTATCTTAAAAGAACCAATTATAGGACCATAGATCTGTGCATGGATCAAACTGGATCAAAAATCGGCATCCCTTCAACCCATTCGAGCTCGCCACTCGGAAGCAAAAAACCCTTCGGATTCTTTCAATGACCCGGACGGGTGCGAAGCACAGACTCGCGGACGTCCCGAAACCAAGGTTGTCAATGGCACCGAAAAGCCGGATCGATCTCGGGAAGCACGGAACCCTGTAGAAATTCTCAGTTGTTTGTGTCCAATCAAACAGATGCTGGAGATGCTGGCCCGTTGGTGGAAAAAATACCGTTTGCTCCCTGGCGTGAAGGGACCTGCGCTGTGAAGCGTCTACAGGAGCTCAGATGGCGTTGGTGGTACTTCGGGTTGAGTAGGAAACGAGGTTGGGAGTGCACGTAGGAAACAAGGTCCTCGGTGGAGAAGCATGGAAAAGCTGGTCGCGGCAGAGCAATTCTGCTGGTTGAATTGAAAGTGTCGAAACCGTACTGTTTTTGGTATGGCTGTATCTCTCCTAAACTGAATCAGAAAAAACACCTTCCAAAGATAAACCAAGTGATTGGTAGAGTAAAGAAGACTTCCCAAAAGTGAAACGTAGAGCTCCAGCTCGTCTCTCTCGCTGAGCAAGTCACCGTGACTCTCCACCTCTCAATTTGACACTTGTGGGTGGAATAGCAAAACAACTTGAAGCCAAAGAATAGTTAATATGAAAACCGCTGAATCCCTGCATTTCATCCATTCAAACCTCACCTTTTTCAGGTCGGACCTTCCGCAGTCGTGTGCCGGTCCTTTCTTTGAAAGGACAAAGGGGCACCGGTGGACCGGAGTGAAACACGCGACAGTCATGGCGAAGGCACACTGACAGGTTCATTCTGGTGGGCCTCGCCTGCTGGGACGGCCAAAAAAAAATTGAGACATGCGTACCTCGTCTTCCACCACCCAAAAGCACGCTCCTGTGCATCAAATAGCGGTATCACAAGCTGAGTGTGAGGTTCAGTGCAATCAGGTAAAGCATGCTGGTCCCTGACCCCCCCGCTTTCAGCCTTCACCTGCGCCCGCTCCGTTGATTTGAGCGAAAGTGAGCCGAGCCATGTTCCAAATAGAGTAATCAAGCTCAAAAGGCAACCACGTGTTTTGTTGTTAAATCCGTGTGTTTTTTTTCACTTAGCCCGAACTTGGCTGACTTTAGAGGTGGCATTTGCAAGAAGCAGCCGTGCTCTAGCACCCACATCTATTTGACAAACTGCGGCACTTTTCGACAAATGATCCATGTCTTTCTCCACGGCCTCACTAGTACAGTAAAGGTGTGCAAACTGAGTAGTCCTGTCCCTTCCAAAGGATGTGAATTTGAAACTTTGTTGATATCATTGAAAAAACAACATTGCAAAGGAAGTGCTCATGGTCTAAAGCTGCATCGCTGCATATGAAACCAATCTCTAAAACATCCGTCTCTTTCCCACCGAAGACTGAAGACAAAAAAATTCCAGCTACTTGCAGAAACAGAACACCAAAAAGAGTACGTTCACTCTCTTTGCTCACTCCGAAGAGATATGTCACTCCTCTGCAGACCTCGCGGAAGCTCAAAGCCGGGCCCCAAGAGCCAGTTCTCCCCCCCCAGCCTCGGCCGCCGGGTCGCGCCTTCAAGCCTCAGGCCTGGCCGAGGCGCGGCTGACGCACCGATAAGTAGGAGCAAGGATGCTACTAGGGGCTCCTGGCATCGCTACTAGGAACAAGGACGCTACTAGGAGTAAAGGGCATTTCTACTAGGAACAAGAAGCAAGAGCCGCGCAGATCCGCTCCGCGCAGATCCGCTCTGCTCCGCGAAGATCCGGGTTTCACGCCAAATCGAAAGCGACGAGCGGCGATCGCCCTGCTTTTTGCGCCGGAGGCAGAAACATCAGAAGCCTCCCAATGATCTTCGAACTCGAGCTCACCCAGCTGCGCCCGTCGATGGCATGTTCTTCATGTCCAATCACAAAAGGTTCGGGATATGAGTGATAAGTGAGAAGAAGATACAAAAAGCAAACTGCAAGCAAGTGAAGAGTTGTTGGTCCAACTTGAGTGGGCGCATCTCTCATCAGCACCGATGAGGCACAGCTCGAAAACTGTCCTATCATGTCCTATCCACATGCTTCCAGCCCTGGGGCGTTCAAGCTGAAAGATCGTCGCAGCACCTCCACCCCTTTCGCCCAAGTTTCGCCCCTTTCGCGACATTTCAGACGTTCCGGTCAAAGTCTTCAGGGACATCCACTTGGAACTTCCCGGAGCTGGTCCTCAGCTTCACTACACCCCAAGACAACGCATCGTCACCTCCGTCGCGTCACCTCCTCGCCTCTTCGTGCCGCGTCCGCGTCGTCCCGTCGCGGGTCCGAGTGCCCCGGCGACATGGCGGCGAACATCCCGGGCCTCGGGGCGGGCGCGGGCGAAGAGGCGCTGACGCCCCTGGTGGGAGAACAGCGGGAGGGTTCTCGGAGGGGCGGAGGAACAAAAGACTGGTCCCTTGAAACTCCAGGTGAGTTCCTAAAATGAAATCAGTCATGGGCGAAAAATTCGTTCCTCCACACCTGCCATGCGCCGCAAGTTCTCGCGGTGTTTGGATCGACAGAGAAATATGTCCCATGTCAAACGGAAGAAATGAAAAAGAAAGGCGCAGATACGCTGCCTAGCCCCTCCTAGCCCTCATGATGATACATAGAACATCTCTTTTGGGCACCTGGTAGATCCAAAGAAGAAACCTCGGAAGTGTGTCGAAAACTTACTCTCAAGAGGGCTACAGTATATTTTTTGGCTTCACCTTTCGGTTGAGAAACCACAAGAACCCAAACGAAGAAGCCACACTTTGTGTCAGGAAGGCCTTTTTCCGCGTCTAAAGGTTTCTTCGCTTTCGAAAGGAACTCAATATCCCGAGAGCTTTGCTCTGAAGACATTGACCTGCTGAACGGAGGATTGGTCGGAGTAATCACAAACTACTCGATGTTTAACAATCCACCGAAGACAAAAAAAGGCACCCGCCCAGCCCAGTTCACCAATCCGAACACATGTATATGGCTTTGGGTCAAAACCGGGGAACCCTGGTTGACCACAGAACATGAACAGAATAGACTACTGGGGAGGTCAACCAACCAGGGTTCCGGTTTTGACACTCACGGCCCACGGCCATACAAGTATAATCTCTTCAGTCCTGACACAAGCACACAGAAATCTCTCTTGTTCAGCCAGGTGTCCTTTCGTTTGTGCAAGTCCCAACTGCAAACGAAATGGAGGTGGGACCACGCGAAACACTTCTTCGTCACACACGGGTGTAGAACACCTGCCGCTGTTCCAGCGCAGCTTCCCCGTGGCATATTTGAATTCAACGCACCAAAACACAAAGATCAGCGTCACTTGTGTGTAGCTCTTATAGATCTCCATGCCGCACTTTCGGCACCATCTTCAAACCTCTTGCAAAGGCCACCGGCGAGCGACGAGCGACTCATCTTCTATGCACGAAAAGCCGGCCAGCAAGAACTCACTCCGGTGCTTGTGTTTGGGGCCCACAAAAAAAGAAAGGCGTCGGAGATGGGTCACCTTGCAATTGTTCATGTGTTCAACTATGTTCATGTTCCACCTGTGCGTGTCCTTTCGCTTCGCTGCGGTCGATGTCCTCCGCAACCTCCACCGCATCCATCGTTTTTTCGGCATCCCACCGATCTTTTGAGGTTCTTTTTCAATGGAGGAACTCAGAGGATGACAATGCGCACTGCTTGAAGTTTGAAGAAAACAAACACTTGGTTTTTGGATGTTTTTGGATAGCTTCTCCTGCACCATTTGACCAATTCCGAAAAGGTCCCTGCCTTTCTCAATGCCTCCAAAGCTGGACCAGAAGGGAACCAGGCCCTTTGAAACAGCATGGAATTTCACCGCCTATCCAGGCCCTTCGAGGGCCATGAACTCTGCTTGGGCCGCCTTGGGAACCAGGATTGTACGCCTGTGGAAGTCTTCACAAGGATTGTAGATACGGTATGATCAACTGACCCTTTCAAGAGCACATCTGACCCTTCAATAGATCCAAATCCATTCAAATCCATGGTGAGGAAACCTGGCAACCAACTATTCATGGACACCGTTTCACGTCGTCCTTTCGCCACACCGGCGAACGGACTCCGGACCGATCCGGCGAGATCCGGACCTGCGTCCGTCGCACTGCTTCGATCAACTCCTTGAGCTTCGGTTCTTGGCCTATGCCGTAGGCCACAGAGGTCTCAAGGAAGTCCAAGGCAATTTGCCCGTCCAAGCCCTGCCTGAAGGGGACGGAAGGGATGGGAGTCTGGAAGGTGGAGGAAGACACTGAAGAAATGATATGAACTGAAAGATGAGAAAAGGTGAGAAAGAGGAGGAGACAAGGTGCAGCACGAGCACAAGACACGACAGTCGAGTGGTTCTATTACGAGCCCTGTTTGATTGTTGGTTGCAATCCCTACCAACTCACAACCCTCACCAAGAAAACCAAAGGAACGTTTCAGTATCAACAAGCGCTTGGGTCTAGCATCAAACCGCCCCTGGAAATGGACAAGCAGTGACCTGTTTTTCGGCCAAAGCGACCTTATCATGTACTCCAGGTGCTCTGAAATGAAGTGATGCCAAACTGCCAAGATCTTGCACCAGTTCTCCTGCACAGCACGGTCTCACTCAATCATGGCGCCGTCGGCACCAACATCAGAGCTGACGGATCGGTCAGTTGCATCAAGAAGCCCGTGAAGGCAGCTTCGCTGGTAAAGAAACCCAACAAAAAGCTCGGACAGCTCTGCATGAATCCACCTTTTGGTAAATGGCTACATCGCAAAATTCATCAACGATTGCTGTGTCTTTGGGCAGGAACCCGCTCTGGAGCCTGCCACCATGTCGGCACGACGGACAGACCCAACTTCAGCATGCCAGGGTGACAACGTGTCAGCATGTTAGCGTGACCCGTGTCAGCGGGCCAGTGTGACAGCATGTCAGCAAAAACATATCAGCATGACATCATGTTTGCGAGTTAGCACGACAGAGTGAGAACATGTTAGAATGTCGACATGACAGCGCACACTGTTGACCACGCATGGTAGCTTGACCGCATGACAACTGGAAGCTGCACCCTCCTCCCCAAATAGCCTGCTCCGAAACCTGCTCCGAGATGTCTTTACTATGGTTGAAGACCGTCAAGCTTTGCCGTTGGAGAAGAAACAGCAAATTTCCCACACGCCTTTCCAAATGCAACATGTGAATGACTGTGAATGCACCAAACTACCAGGCTTTGTTTGTAAGATGTAAGCACCAAAACCATTGGCTGGCATCAACACTACTCGCATGGCAGATCTTCTTCACTTTCCCTTTGCTCCCCTACTTTTGATCCAACGATTTTTTAAGACTCAAAATGTTCAATGAAACGGGGCCCTGCAGGATTCCCATGCCCCAAGCACTCCCCATACCCCCACACCACCTCACACCCCCCAGACTTAAGCGCCCCATCCCCATCGCACCCTCCGAGCTGACGCGCGCCACATCCCGCCGCGTCCTCGATCCCTTGGGGTCGATGGGATCTCCCGTCCACATGCTGCCGCAAGTAGTCTTGCACCTCGCCACAGAGCCGGCTCATGATCCTGGCGGCGCGCTCGCGTCCCGCCAAGCTCGCCGCTTCGCGCCGCACGCCCGGCCCACGCCCAGCGGCACATGAAAAAAGAGCGACCCGAAACACGACACACAGAGGTCGTCTGCCAACAGGTGGAGGTGGCATTGGAGCTTTTCAGAGCGTCTTTCAAGGCCAAATGGACTGAAAAGATGCCGTTGGGACACATGGCCGGAGTTACTGGGTCCTAAGAGTGGACATAGGGTCAAGATGTCGTGGCGTGGTCGGAGCGTTCCAAGTCGGACATCACCTCGCATCACCTCACGCCTGGTGGCAGGTGTGCCTCCAAGCTGGCAGTTGCACATCGTGGTCTTCTTGGCCATCTTGACAAAGGGGGCGAGAATCTCCAAGTGCATCTTCAAATCCATGGCCAGTTCCTTCAAAACCGAAGTCAGACTTCAGAGCCCATATTTGGGGTGTTTGTTGTGGGCTTGAGATCTATAGCCAGATCATGCCAGATCCTTCACAATCACAACAAAAAGCAGGACAAATCCACCTCGAATCCCACGTCAGTGCTCGCCCGCTCGGTGGTGCTTCAAGAAGGCCGAAACGGGCGGATGGCTGGAGAAGTGGGAAAAGGATCGCGTGATGTTCCACTACTATATTACAATATATGTATGACAATAGTAATAGGTGAACAATGTCTTGCAAGTCACAATGTGTTGCAAGTTCACCTAAAAAAGACACTTTCTGTACTTCTCCTCTTTGATGCTCTTTCCGATGCCATCCGACGTCCAAAGCATCCGACTTCTCTTTTCACCCAAGCATCCAGCTCGTCTGGGATCGTCGTCTTCCCATAGAAGTCGTCCTCCTCCTCTGAGTCTGGCACTTCGAGCGGCTGGAAGGGGAAGCTTCGCTTTCGCAAGCGATGAGAGGTCTCTGGAACTCCTGCGCAGAGTCCGGAATCTGAAGGGAAGACAGGGAGAGATTGGCAAGAGTCAGGGATCCCCAAAAGGGTTTACTTTGTGAATCGGAATCTCTTCCATTTGGGCTCCAAATACCCCCCCTGGCTGGATGTTTGGGTAGAGCTCAAGAGAGTTCAGACCCTGGACTCATGTTTCACTTTCTCATTTTGCCCCAGATGGCACACGGCAGATGTTACCCGTCACCATGCCTGCGCGCAGATGCTTTCGGTGCAGCCAGCCGTCCAGCAGGTACACCACCATCACCCTGCTGCCAATCTGATTTTTCAGAGCCCAGCCCGGCATCCAATCCCCAGCCCGGCGTGAGAAGATTTCCACGGGCAGCCAGCCGCTGCGCTCATCGCAGACGAACGATCGCATGGTAATCTATGGGGACGGGTGGAGGAAAAAGAACACGGCCAAATGGCTACAAACAAGCATGAGCAAAGCATGACATAGTCATGAAATACTGAGTCCCAGTAAACCCTAAGACCCTACTCCATCTGAGAACCTCACCCCAAAGAAGCTCTTCCTCACTTCTCTAACCATCCTCTAGCACCACCACAACCCATTCTCTGCTCTTGGCATCAACAGGAGTCTTCAACGACTCGGACAACAGCCAAACCGCCAACGCCTGAGTTCCCAACACCAGCAAAAGGCCGATCGTCACGGCGATCGAAAGGCCCAAGAAGATCATCGAGTTCTGGCCCAGTTCTCATGCAGAAATGGACGTGTGGACCTTCGTGCATGGACGAGCGAAGATCATATTCTTTAACGAAGGAGGGTTATATAGGTCGCTGGCGGTGTTCCTTCCGATGCTCTCACCCAAGTCTCTTAGCTTCCAGAGCTTTCATCGAATTCACCCAGCCGTGCTCGGTCTTGGAAATTCTCCCAGCCGTGCTCGGTCTTGGAACCCGGAGGCACGCGCCACCTCTTCGGACGACGGGTCCTACACCTCCCGGCGCCACCGGAGCCCCCAAAAGCGTGGACGGCAGCACGTCATTGAGCGTCTCCTGCTGCGAACGCTCGCGGAGCGCCACGCGCCACGCGCATCGTGGCGGGGGACCGGGAGCCTTGCAACTGCCGCGAAGCGAGTTCAGCAGAGATGACGTGCCGCCATTCTCAGGATCTCAGATCATTTCTCAATTATCATTCCTCATGTCTGGCTGGTCGAATTCTCTCAGTTTTGCCACCAAAACTGCAGATGATGGGTGTTGAACCCTGTGACGCGGGAGAACGAAAAAAAGCGGAGCTCGTTTTGGAGGGTATGGCCCCAACAAATGCTCTAAAATGGAGGTCTTTTGCTTCCACCGGTTTCTTCCCCCCCCGAAGAACGACGAGTGGCCGAAGGACGCGACGTGAGCGGGTACGGAAGCCGGTTAAAAACCCTTATAGCTCGTCTCCTCTAAACTCTGCTGGGCCAAGGCGGGTGCAGCTCCACCCAACCTGGACGATGCTTTGGGAGGAAATCGGACGACCAGGAATGTGATGAAAGGACATTTTAGCCCAGGAAGCAACGGCTTTGTTGGGAGGGAATCCTGGTAAATTCTCGTCCACCAGTGAGTTCGGCTGTTCAACACCGTCTCTGTCAAAGTCTTGACCCATCTCACTCTCGAATTCCAAGGCCGCCACACAGCACCTACGACCTCAGACTGAGGTCAGACTCCAAGGACCGAGTCACACCCAACTGATTCACGTTTGCATGTTGGTCTCCAAACAGTCCAGAAATCCACTGAGGATCTGTGAGGTGACTCACTACTTCCAGAGGATGGTCTTTGTGGCTAAAGTACAAGTGCATCCTAGTCAGAATCTCTCAATTGCTCTGAAAATCTTCTTCATACCAACCCAGTCCAAAAGTCTCGACCTGCTGCCAGAGATCACTCTGTGGCTCGCACGGTAGCTCGCTGAACAGGCGGAGACAAGAAGCCCAGAACTCCTCCAGGAAGTCAGCAGAGCTACAGTTCATGGACCACAGATCCAGGAGATACCACAGGACACAGGAGATACCACAGGAGACAGGAGATACCACGAGATCACCAAGGGGGGCTCACACCCTTCAGCGGAGTCAGCGGATCGAGATCACCAAGGGCTCCCCTGTTCACTGGGTCCACTGTTCCTTCCCTTTGCAAGAAAAGCGCTTAGATAGAATCCCTCCATGAAACAAAAATGACACCTCAGAATACCCAAACCTCTCTTGAGCTCCCTCTTTCCTCTCCATCGTTCCTTTTGCCAAATCCCGAGAGACCTTCCTCCCGTTCCTCCTCCCCTTCCCATTCGGAGCATCGTGGGCGCGTCCTGATGCACTCAGGCTGATGTACCCAAGTGCCAGGCCTTGGTCGTTCGTAGGGAGACCAGGCAACCGGCGCAAGATTGTGGGTCCAAAAAGGCGGAGAAACGCTATCAACTGATCAACAGAGCAAAAGGAGAGTGTTGTTTTGGGATGTTTTGGGTGTCTTTTCACTGCTGGCTCGGCCATGTCGAGACTTTCGCAGGGGGGGACCTTTGGGTCCTTCGATCCTTAGCCCACGTAAAGAGAAACACGGCCCTGCCCGTCTAAGCCAACGTGTTGCCTGCACGATCCATGAGAGGGACCCAAAGATTGAGGTTGCGAAGGCCTCCTTAGTCAGCAAACTCTTACTTTGCCACAGGAAGTACCTCCCAAAAACACCCGGGCCCCCGGCTTCAAACATCCAAGTCAGCCATGGGTCGAGAACAAGCCATCTGCCGGTTTTGAGGTCGAAGTATGACCGGACACAAGGCAAACGGAAGCTCAACCTCCACCCGCGGAGGTGAGGTGCACCACCCACACCCTTCTCCATCCGTCCATCTGAACACTGCCCAACCGGGCTCGGACACAAAGCTCTCAGAAGCCATGAGCTACGCATGGCCGTCGACGCAGCGAATTGCCCGGGCGCGGAAACGGGAGGCGCGGTGCTTGACGCGTTTCGGGTCGCTGGTGCGGAGCCGATGAAAGGAAAGACCGAGGACGGCGGTGATGGCGGAGGCTGGTCGCGAGGCGATCAGGCAAGGTGGTCAGATCTTTGGATTGATGGAAACCACACCTCGTGGAGTGTGATTTAGGGGTCGGATGAGGGAACCTGCTCAACTGCTCAACTGGTTTTCTGGAAAGTCTTTGATAGATACACACTGAAAGGCTCACAAAAAAGAAAGCCGGCAGCATGATCATTCTGGATGGATGAAAGTTCTGAGAACTTAACTTGGTGAAGGCAGTTGGTGCCAACGATGACCACCGGCTCACCTCTTGATTGGATCCAAATACTCATCCCTTTGGTCAAAAGGAATCTCCAAATGTCTTCAAGTGCTAAATCCTCAACCTGCCAAATGCATTTCACAGACGTGACATGTTGTTCTTATTCCTCCGGACCTTAGAAAAAACTTGCATTTGTATGCATTTGTCACATCTTCACATGTCCCCAAAGGCTAACATGCTTCCCAGTGAAAACCGCTGGCCCCCCCCACACCTTGCTCTGGAGTCTCTGCTCTCGTGAAGGCTCGGTCGTGGCAACCTGGCGCAGCCCACCCAGCCAGACTGGCAAGCGGTGGATCGGACCGGCTGTGGACTCCAGAAAGGCGCAGAAAAGCGGAGGCAACTTGGGGAGAAGCTTCAAGGCACCATGACAGTTGTTGTTTGGCATTTGGCAAAACCTCCCAACAAGTGGAACTACCAGAAATGTGCCACCTCATGGTAATGCAGCCTATCTAGTCTTTCGTGCATTTTTGGGACACCCAAACCGGGACGATCCATTTTCCTAAGTGAATAACCTCCCAGCGCTCCAAACGAGTCCAAGCCACGTGGAATCCAAGTGCTGAAAGCCTCCACAGCGGATGCCAGATGCCTCAAACTGCAGTGAAAACACGCGGGGGCAAAGGATGGGGTACTGTTGCTCTAGCCCAAATCCATCCACTTGCACAGATATTGTAGGACCTGATCTGGAGCATGTGATCAGCTTGCCCATGCAAAGACAATCTCCCGTCAACTGTTCAAACCCAGTCAATCTCCTGTCAACTGATCAAATCGAATCTAACATCCATCCAACCCAGTTCAATGCCAAGAATCTCCACCCAAACCTGGAAGACCCCAATCCTCCACCATGTGTGGATCTTCCTTTCTCCCCAACCAAGTCTTCTCATCTCCCGTTGCCACACCTGTAGTGGGCGAGCCACTGTGCCGGTGCCAAAGGTCCTGCGCAGGGTCTGTCAGGGGGGTCTTCCCTACCACTGGGATCAGACCCAGATCTTCCAACTGATGTCTGCCTTCAGGCTGTGTTTTTGATGGATGAAATAAGGCAGAAATTCTGCATAGTTGGAAGATCCAGGTATGAAGAAACTCCATGATGGAGCCTGGGAGTTGTCACTTCACCCTCGACTTGGAGGGGTCTCCAGGCTTGTCACTTCGACTTCTGAAAGGTGATGGGTAGTCAAGTCACATGTTCCAAGGTCCACCGGAAAAAAAAGAAAGAAACAGACAGACCGACAGAAGACACCGAGGCTCCGCAGTTCTGGTCGCTGTTCTGAGACCTGGTTCTGGTTCTGTGGAACCAGTGGGTTGAGCCGTCGAGCCCATGTTCCAAAAGTACACCATGCAACATTCCTAACGTGAGAAAAACCATGGCAACTGTTTCGCACAGGAATTTGTCCCTCTATAATTCAATCTTTTGATGATGCTGGAAATGATATTCAGCATAACTCAACCCGCTCAATGCACCCAAAATGAACCCAACATTGCATACTCACAGTGGTTTCAGAGTAGATGACACAATCCGTAAAAGGTTGTTTAAATGGACCCCCCCCCATATAAAGGAAACCACTGTATATACCGCTTTTTGCCCAGTAAGTTCCGTGAAAACTTCGTTCGCCTGAGCACCTTTTGCCTAGCCGCTGGCTGGCTTCCACAAGAACACACTGCAAGCAAGTCCCTGCTTCAAGACCCAACTTGATCGGCCGGCACAACGCCAGGGTCTAGCAAAACAAAACAAAAAATGATGACGACAACATTGACGCTTCACTGCGTCACTTCAATCTACAGGGGGTCTTTCTTCTCGGCAGCTCAAACAACTACGGAAGAGGAGAAGAAGCAACACCCGACACGGCGGAGAAGTGAGTTGTCCTTGGCTCTTTCGGCGACTCAACTCAGCGCACGGGCTGGTGGCTCCAGTGCTGCAAAGGATACCGATCTATATAATACAGTGTAGATTCAGTGCACTGCTGAGCAAAAATCTGACATAGAAATTCACTGAACTCCAAAGTCTGAGTATGTATGGCAAGACTTGTGCTGCTCTCCAGTGACCTGAAGGACTTTGGAAAGCTTTAGACTATATACTAACATGGAAGAGGAAAAGGATCCCTTGGAAGACTACTTTCCTTTACGAACAGGGGGGGTTCCACTTCCATGTTACAGAGTCGGAGTGTAGACTGCAAAAGAGCAAACAGGTTCGATTCAAAACTCCAACCCAAGCAATCAAGCTGCCCTGACCGCAACGTGACTGCATCTGAAACTCTGAAACTTACTCAAAGAAACCAGCTCCATATGACGACATTGGAGAAAACAAGAGAACAAAGAACAAAAGGAAGGTCCCTGTCCATCCATCTGGTCTCAAGACTTCCAGACCCCACGGTCCCCTCGGCTGGGCTCGCACTGATCGGCACCACCGAGGACCGCAGATCGGGCGGTCGGCGCGAGGGGATCCTGGAGGCCGATGGGCAGGTATTCCGAAATAGGGAGGTGGTTGGGGTGTGAATGAGACTGATCGATATTGAAGATCACCCCCAGCCATGCATCTGAAAAAAGCGGTGATCAAGAGTGATGTATGTCTGTGTGTGTGTCTGTGCATTGAATTGAGATCTGACAGCAGACCCGTTCACCTCCCGCACTCTCTGAGTGTCTTGATTGCAACATCCTCCAATTCTCCCCTGCTCTCCGCTCTTCATCCACTGAGCTAAACCCACTGCGTCCGAACGGACCTTCTCGCACCGGGCGGATCGGCTCGGCTCCTCGTGGCCGCTGAGGTCGCGGACATGGGCGGCTCCTGACGAGCGAAGCGAAGCAGCTTGGCAGTGCGAGCGCTTGGGGGGGTCGGTCCAAAAACCACTTGGACTAAAGGAAAGACAGAGTCATCCAGCGAAAATGGCTCGAGAACAATCGAGAACCAGGTGAGTTGCAGTGTTCTAGTGGAGACCGATTCACGGCTTAATTGGTGGGAAGATTGGATGGATTTGAGTTCCTTTACTTTTTTGATAGATCATCTCACATCCCAAACAAACCTGCTCCGGCGGCTTCATCCCACCCCTTCGTGCCCCATCCCGCCCCAACGTCCACACGAAACCACCCGTCCAAACCCGTCCGCCCGACGGACCGCCGGACCGACTCGTCCGGGACCAGGGGTGGCGCTCCGCGCGGTTTTGGACGGAGACGCCAGGATCTGAGGAGTCCAGCAACGAATTCCCCTGGCAGCGAGCAAAGCGACGGAGGCCGGGCGGAGGCCGGGCGGAGGCCGGGCTTCCCCAGGCGCGAGGCTGGGGCGGGAATCGTTGAACACAAAGGCTCTTCTTACTAGTTCAAGCTTTGCATTCTCATGTACAATAGGCAGGAGGCCAGCGCATGACATCACGACGCTGGCCAACGAAGCTAGTGATGTCATGGGAAGCGATCAGAGACGTCTGATCGTGTACCTGCAAACGTTTAATCCTATCTAAAGGGCTCAATTCTGTTCTCTGACCCAGCATTCTTGCCGTTGTGCGCGAGTCAAGGTCTAATGTAATCAGGAACTTCTTTTGGGGATGTCGCAACTGATAGAGCTCTTGCGAGCAATGATCTAAGTGTGTATGTCCTTCCGGACGACGGCAAAGGACTCCCAAACCATGGTGAACTCAACCAAAAAAGGGCCAAACAGCACTGTTTGGAACCGAAACGGAAGATGGCCAAACACCCAAAGAGGAAAGGATAGAAGCCCACAAATGTCGAGCCGGTTGAAGTCGAAGAACTCGTTCTCCACTTGTAGGACATCTGGGTTGGAATAAAATGCAATCTGGCAGACCTCCAGTGATGCACCCTGGAGTCAGGTGAACTTGTTCTGGAAACCTATAAATCTGAAGGAGTGTGTTGCCTTTGCAAGTTTTTCCAGGCGAAGTATCAAGAACATGTTGGTTGAAAGCTCCAGAAGCGCTGGTGAAAACCAGTGCTCCACATCTCCACAAATACCACCAAAGAAGGAAAGGGCGGAAAAAAAAGACCGGTATGGCAAAAGGAATGGTCTCTCTTGTTTAGAGAATGCCATGTATGGCTTACATCGACCCCAGCTTCGACCACGTCACACGGAACCCCCCAGTTTGGGTCCCGTCCCGTCCCGTCCCGTCCGGTCTGGTCGTCAGACATCGCCGGCGCGACACGTCCACCGGTGCCCTGGGACGTGATCGTCCTCAGCGTGGGCTCCTGGAGCGCCAAACGGGGTTCAGCCCGTGGGGGCAAGCTCCGCGTTCGTCCCAAGACAAAACAGAATGAGGTGGGGAAGAGCTGAGAATTCTGGAATTGAACATCATGAAAGCGAAGAACAGGCCAGGCAGTGGAAAATTGAACTACCTTTCAAATAAAAATTGAACCACCTCTTTCAGGTTCCAGGCATGAACATGCAAATGGAGACTTTGGATTCCAACATGTCCAACACCGGTCCAGGCCTCGTGAGGATCCACATAGAGCCGACTCCGCTTCGGCATGGACGCCATCTGGGCGGCTTAAGATACTCCCAAAAGGGGGGGTGGAATGAGAATCGGCACAAGGAGCTTTGGTCTCCCCACCCAGTGGAATGCGCCCGGCGCAATTGCTTAGCAAGCTTTGGGATACTGAGTGGGTGGATATCGCAAGAAGCAAACCAAGGAAGAGCAAAGAAATAGATTCTCCCGAGCTGTGCCAGTTTTGTCAGTGATTCAGACGTCGATCGTAGAATTGGTCCCGACCCTGCATGGGCACTAGTGAGTGCTGCAGGTCTGTCTTCAACAATGCAGAAACTACAGCACTCGATACCAACCACACTTTCACCAATGACCTTACTTCCACCTTCTCTTCACCAATGGATTTACTGGGTGACCACTCTACTTTGAGAGGATCTGCCACACCTCTCTGATTACTACACAGAGAGACCATAGGACACTAGTGTGACTAGTGTGACTGGTCGTTTGGGCCACCTGTCTGCCAATTCACCAGGGCTCCCGAACCCTCTTCCGCTCTTCCGCTTGCCGGCGGAGGGCAGCGTTGCGTATCGGTTCCATGGAGGACCTGCACCGTGGAACCGATGTGGGCTCGGGTGGGGAGTGGTGTGCCTCTTGACCTGTTGGGCATGAGAGACACCTTTTCAGGCGTATTGGAAGAGTGCAGCAACCCGCAACAACCCAAGTGGGGTCTAGGGTAACATCCAAGTGGGTCGTGGGGTCTTACAGGTAGACTCTTCTGCAAAGGGGTGCCCTGTTAGAACCGGTGGGACTTTCTACCCAGTCAGAACCCTTGGAAGATCAGTCACGATCAAGCTTAACATGCTTAACTACATGTTCAGGCTCTGCAGCTCTGCAGCTTTCTGCAGCTCTGCAGACGGTCTCGGCCACTCAGCACGGTCTCGGCTCACGCCCAGCTCGGCTCGGCTCTCCGCACGCACGTGCTCCGGCTCGCGCGCTCCAACTCGGGTGGCCCGGACGTCAAATCCAGCTGCTCCAAATCCCGCGGGCCGATCCGCACCTCGATCTCGCTCGAGGAGGTGGGTTCCGCTGAAGCGGAAGCTCCGGGCTTTTGGAGCACAACCCCAAGTACTGATCTCTATACACGGTCTAGACACATCCTCATGTAGTATGAATTGTTCAGGCGGAGTGCTGCAGAGAGAGACTATAGCAGCCCTACAATCAACGATCCAACCGACCCCCCCCCTTCTTGGCAGAAGCCATGCCACACCCACACCCGCCACGCGCCACGCGCTTGTCCCGTGGCGTCCGGGCGGGTCGGATGTTGTCGAAGAGCCGTGGCTGATTCCGAGCCTCGGGTCGCTGGACCGGGTTCGACGTTGCCGAAACCGGCGGAACTGGGGAGGGGGGTTGGTTTGAAAGGGCACAGAGAAGCGTGGTTGATCTTGCATAGCCCCACGCCTCTGGAATCCAATCCCAGATGAACTCACAAATCACCATCAATTGCCACAGCTCAGCCATCCAACCAGCTCAGCCAGCCCCACGCCTGCCCACGCTCCAGCATATCGGTGGACCAGCGCTTCACGGTTTTGCTGCCCAGCGTCATCTGGCGCCCGTGTCGCGGTCGCAGCGGTCGCCCAGCACCCCAGCCGCCCCCAGTCGCCGCCCAGTCGCCGTTTTTCAGATTGAACAACTGGGACCCATCCAGGCATTCGAGTCCTAAATTCCAGACAGAATGGTGCCATCCGTGCGTCATGACGCCAGACCTCCTTGCTGGAGAACTTCCCAGCAGCCAGAGCTTTGGCAGAATCTGGTAACCGTTGCAGGCGGTGTCAAAGCATGCAGTTCGAGAGACAAAAACAAATGCTACGCATTGCCACGCCATAAGAAGTCTCAGGTTTTGAAGGTGCACATGACAGCCAATGGGATCGACCCTCGCATATATCTATTCCTTTCTTCCTTATGATGTTCATCTTTTTCTTCCAACGCCACCAACCCTCTATGCGGCCTCAAAAAAAAGCCCTGCGCGCCATACAATACGCGGCCCTGCGCGCGCCAAACAACCACCACCACCACCACCACCACCACACGGCGGCCTGCGAGGTTCTCGTAACTCACGGTCGGCTCGTCCCCCCAGGGCAGCTCGGTGACTTTGAACGTAGGCTCGCTGATGGTCCTGAACCCCGGTAGCCGCGGCCCCGTGAGCGTGCGGGGCGGCTCGGCCGTCCGAGTGTTAACCGAGACGTTGGCGGGTGGAATCAGTCTCTCCAAGTCTATACTGTAGCTTTTCATATCAAAAGCAATTGATTGGCAGGTGAAAGAGATTGAAAGAGCCCACAGATTTCACCCCTCCACTTGCCTGGGCATGGCGCGTGGCGTGCTATCGCCAATCCGGGCACTTTCGGCATTCGACACCTGGGTGCCGTCGCCGGAGGCGAGCGCTCGGCCTTTGGACGGCCATCAGCAGTCAGTGTTGATTCACTGAGGGCTGCGCCCAGAAAGGGATGTCCGGATGGTCGGAGTATTTGGGATACCTGCAGAGTCCGACGTATTCGCGGGACACAGTTCTCATGACTACGAAGTGTTTGCACTTCTCATGAACCGTTCATGGCTGCACTTGCACTTCTCGCTTGGCTCCCTGCTCGCGAGGAAAAGCTCTGGGAAAGCTGAAGTGCTGCATGTCATATTCCATCTGGCAAGAGACTGAGAGAGAGAAAGCAATAGTATGCCGCAGCATCACATACAAGGCTTTTGTGCTGATCTATGACTCAGACCCTTTGTCGAAAAAAAAAAAAAAGGTATGTTGGCATGAACATGACGTACTCTAGGCAGAACTAACTTTGTGTACCAAAGTGACATCACCTGTGCATAAAGGCTTTGGGTTGAAACCCGTGATGCAATAGACATGAGCGTCAAAGCAAGTTCACTCGAAGGCGAACGGCAAACGGCCCACTGCCACGTCGGTCGGAAAGTTCCAACCGAGCTCCGGGGCACAGGTCACTCAGGTCACTGAGTCAAGTGTCATTTCAACTATCGAGCTGACAACTTTAAGTGGTATTGAGTTACTTCAAGTGGTATTGGAGTTCGGAAATGGATCTGTCTCTCAAATACGGGAGCTCCCTTGAATCCCTTGCCCTCTTGGTAGATGGGTAAATGACCAGGATCTGTTCCTTCAAGTCCTGGAGCCCCCAAATTGGGTGAGTGGAGACGTCAGGCTCGAAGCCAGGCCTTGTCTTTCCTTCGCTGGTCCTGCGCACTGCTTCTGCTCCCAAGCTCCCAAGCACGCATCGAGTGAACAACCACCGCGAACATGGTCTTCGTGTTGAACATGGTCGAACATCAACATCGGGACCATGGACAAACCACATATACTGTGTATATATATATATATATTTATTATTTAACCATGATTCCTTCAGTCAGTGTCGTCATGCACGCACCAGCGACGGATCACGCACCGAGCATGCACCAGTGCGCGAGTCGACCGTCGACCGCTAGAACGCGTCGACCGTTCGTCCTGCATCTTGGTGAGGGTCTGCGGCTGACCTTTGGGTTCTCGGAACTGGTGCTCCTCCACCTGCCGAGCGCTGCTCCCACCCACAACCACCTTCCACATCCTTCCACATCCATCCCACCCATGTGCTTGTTTGGAGCGCTGCAGACGTCTCTGGGTGTCTGACAGTCAGCTCCGGCGGATGATCCACTGACTTTCTCAAAAAGACATGACAACTCGTGGTTCGCGAACATGCAAGTCATGGCGAGGTCAACGCACACGGCAGAGCTGATTGGAGCGAATGCATGCGCCACATGCGCCGCGCTGCACGCGCCGCATGCGCCTCCCTCTCCTGGTTTCTGATTGACAAGGGCACGTAGTAGACGTCCCCCTGAGCCCGCAACTCCTGACCAGGCGCAGGCGCAGGAGGTTGACTTCATGTGAAGAATGTTCGCCTTGTTCCGCCCGAGAGGCTAGCAGTAACTTTGACCATCCCTCATTCAACCCAGTGAATCATCTCCATCTTCCAACTCGCCAGAAACCTGGACCTTCTGAACACCTTGGCCCCCACGGACTTCTTCCACGTCGGCCGGTCGGTGCCTCATTGTCGCGCTTGAGCAACTCCCTCCGCGTCTCGAGCAACCTCAGCTCGACGAGGCGCAGCAGGGGCGGCACCACCTTTGAGAGACCACACTGGTGTGGGGCTTTAAGACTGAACGCCTGGTGAACAGTGGGGGGGGGTCCGTGACCGCAGGAATAGACGGTAGTGCTTGTGACAAACAGAAAGCTCAAAGCAGAAACATGTTGCTTCATTTGTGGACTTTGCTTCAGTTTGAGGACACCTGCGATGTTTTTCCGAAGAATGCACCAGCATTTGGCCCAGCACAAAGCGCCACAACCAGATCAACGCCCCCGCTTTGACGCTCCAGGGCCACCAGCTGGCTACGTGTGCGAAACATGGGTTCCTCCGTCCACGCGATGCCCACGGTCCTGACGAGTACGTATGGCGCAACTTGGTGGAAGCAAAGAGGAGGTGAATGGACGGATTGGTTCACCTCAGAAAAGAAAGTCGGAGAGCCCGGCCTGTATGGGCCCCATTTGGAGTTGCAAGGTTGTAGCTATGGATTCCACCGCTTTTCCAGTGCTTTTCAGAACTTCCATCAACATTCTCACCACAACAGCCCTGCTGAACCCGGCGCGGCGGTCTTGTACTCACGCTCAGGATTCACCGGGTAGCTCATGGGCATCAATCCACCGCGCACCCGCGCCAACTGGCAGGCGGCATGGATGGAAAGGGCGCGGTTTCAGGTGGTCTGTGTGGGCGCATTGTAGAAACGGACAACGGCGGTTTTGGTCGTTTCCTTTGCTTTATGACTTTATGCTCCCAAAAGTCGGGAGCGGCAGGTGCATCAAACCACTGAAAGCAGGTCTATAGGGAAATGCACTGCTTTCGTCATCAACTGGTGAGAAAAAGATAAGCTGACTGCGGTTGAAGAAACTCTCAGGTGGCCAAAGAGGCTCAACTGTTTATAGTCAGTTTGAAGGGTACCAGTGTTCTTACAGCAACAGCAACCACAACAAACACATCTTGATTCCCTTTTGAGATGCATTTCCTATTCATTTCTGCTCCTCATTTCATCTCCATCTCCCCAGAAACGGCGTCCAGCCACGCCTGGTGATCCGCTTCCGCGCGCTCGCGGATGTGGCTGATCGGGCAGCTCCGCGGCTGCGTCTCATGGTTCGGCGGCTGACGCTCCTTCACCTCGGAGGGGTCAGGTGGTTCAGCGCGGAAGGCTGGCGAGGGTGGTAGCGGTTCGGTGATGCGGCTGCTGTAGAATTGGTATGAATTGGTTGGCACATACGTTATGTCGAGCGAAAAGGAGTGAAAAAGGCCTTCTGAAACCGAAACGATGCAAATTTCAGTCCAGTGGTCGGTATAGGATTCGGTTCGTCAATGTGGACTTGGGTCAAAGGCCCCCACATGTGGCTTCAGAATGAGCTGAATGGATGAAAGCTGCATCACCGTCGCTCTGGGAAGAAGATCACGCAGCGGGTTGCGACGTGGATAGCTTGCGCACCAAAGAAAGAATATGTATCCGACTGCGTGTAACTTGCGAAGAAGTCACTCCAAAAAGCATCCCGTTACGCTAGCCCTAAAGACCTCACCAACTGAGATTCAACACAAGACACAACATAAGAACCCATCATTTCTGCCAACAGTAATAAGAGACCATCCCAGCAAATCTTCACCCACCCAGTACAAAAGAAATGATCCCCTTCGGCTCTTTAGCTCTTCAGCTCGGTGCTCGGGCAGGCTCACAACGCGCCGCCCAATTCTCCCCGTTGATGAGACCCGCGCCCTTCGCCTCGAGCGCAAGGACCACGCGCGAACGTGGAACGTGGTGCACCCCCCTGCACCTTGGGGGGGTCCATAATTACTTGGAACGTGCAACCTGGCATGTTGGAATAGAAAGACCAACAAAGCAACTGGCCATTGATGCTTTGAAGAGACGTACCCGACCGCGAGAAGCAACTAAAGGGAGTTGGGCTATGGCTCTGAAAATGTCGGATCTACAACGAAAACAGTGTCTCGTCATTCCCTGAATCGGATGCACTTCTCACGTCTCCATCTTTGGCAGCTAGAGGTGCATGAATCTTTCAGCAACCACACATCAGAGGAAGAAGTTTTTGAGTCTTAAAAAATTATTGGAAATTCAAAACGTGCAACCCCAAACAACCGCTTGATGAAAAATCTGAATCCAACCAACATGAAGCTTGCAAAGTCGGAAGAAGTGCATATTTCTTTGTGATGAGGTTAGCAACAAGCGCTGGCTGCCGCACGCCAAAATGCCTCAAAAAGAGCAATGAGAGAAGTTTGTACATTGGAATGTCAGGTTCAGAGGAAAAACAAAACAGCCCGCCGGGGTCGCCCCCAAACCAGAAAAAGGAGAAAACGGAACAAACACCAGGTGAGTCGATGCCGTCGATATCGTCGATGTCGATCGCCCCTGCCTCTGCCTTTCGGGTCTCTTTCAAGGTGGTCTTGGTGTAGTGTTCTGGCACTTTATGCGCGTTGAAATGGGGTGGGTACCTCCGCAACGGGTAAGACGATCCGAAGCGACATCTGCGGCATGAAGAAGATCCAACCCAAACGCGACATGAGAGGAGAGGCGGAACTTGGGCAGAATGTGTTTTTTCGTTTGCTTGCATCTGATGCGTGCTTGAGGAGCTCTCCTTCCACCTACCCATGTTCCAGATTTTGCCAGTGCCGAGAGGTGATGCTTGGTGCTCGTTGAAGAGAGTGGGGCACGTGGACACACTGGCTTCATTCTGGTTGTCAGGGCCACAAATGACCCCTCGCTTCTGCTTGATCTCAGCAGTACAAAATGTATGATGGAGATTGACGGAAATCTCTGCCTTCCCAACTTGGGCACAGCAAAATTCAAATTCTCTTCGGCGTTATTTGTCCATGTCACACCTATGCATTTCTGTTGTCACCTCCCGGTGCGTTAAGCTCCCTGCTGGCCCACATTTGTGAACCTGTGCAGGAGCTCGGCACCCACAGCTGGTTTCCTTCAAGTCTGAAACCACCGTTCTGGTCTTTCCATAGATCACAACCTTTCACCCCTCTCAACCCTCAAAACGGCCCGCAAAAAAGAAGCAACCAAAAGCCCGCTCGCCAAGACTCCATGGGGCCGCCTGGCCAGTCGAGTCCAAGCCACGGACGAACTTGTCCAAGAAGCCCTTCTCGAGCGCCTGGCCGGCGAGAGCCAGAGCGAACCCGTTTATAAAAAGAAGACGCGCACCGGGAGCCAGCGACGGAAAGGCTTTCTGTGATGGTCTGTGTCTGTGATGGTCTGTGTGTGTTCTGTCTGGAAATCACCAACCAACTGAAGGCTTCACTCCAAAGAACACCTACTCCCTTGGTGCTTCTCTCTGAAACCGATCCACTGGACCCGAACTGGATCGGACCCACGACCTGACGCGGCCGCCTTCTCGGCGCGTTGCCGCTCGCCGGTGGTGAGTCGGCCATCGGCATCTTGATCGAAGCATTTGCCAATGAAGTAGTCAAGCTGCCCGACCACACCATCACCTGAGTTCATGGAGTTCATCCAAAAAAATGTCACTTCAATGGGCTAAGTCTCAGTTCCTTTTTAAAAAAGACATCCTCTCCAAAGGATCCTCTCCGTTTCGCTCGCTCCGAGCTCGCCGAACCTTTCTGCGGAGAAACGGCTCTGCAAAAAGCTCGCTCGCTCTCCGACCCTCGCCCCGAAAGACTTGGCCGTTGGACGGTGGCAACTGGTTTGGTCTCGTTTGCTAGAGCAGTTTTGTTCGTTTGAATGTGTGTGTGTGTGTTGTTTTGTGTCCTATTGGTGTTTGTGAAAACAAACACATGTTAGTTCTATGTTTCTTTTGAGTCAAGAGGTATTCAAACTGTCAAGGCACCATCAAAGTCGTAGCTCTTCACCTCCGGTATTCGGCCCTGCTTGCGAGCCTCCGGCACCATAACATCGGGTCAAAACATTGGCATCTCAATAAACCAACATCTCAATAACACTGGATGTGGTCTAAACACTGGGCATCTGAAGGCCGATTTCTCTTAAGTCCCTGGACAAACGTCAAGCTCCATAAAACTCAGAAGTCAGGAGCATAAAACTCAGAAGTCAGGCGGGTTGACCCAGACATCTCCTTAATTTGGTGAAGAAAAGACACCACTGGACGTCGTCAGTCTTCTGCGCCTGTTGAAGCTCAGCTCTTGATCGAATGGCCGGAGGATCATCGAGCCTCACAGGCCGGAGGATCCCGAAGACAGCCTTCAAGCCGGCCGTTCCCCCGCTGTGTCTTAAGAGTTCACGTCTTCTGATTCCAACAAATAGACTTCCAATGAAGCCTGAAATCTGCTCCATCAGGTCTGATGTTGGATGCTATCGGATGGTTCGTACTCTCACCGTTGAGGGTGTCTTGAAAGGTGGTAGGTCAAACGCCCGCGGCGTGGCGTGGCCGCACGTCGTCATCGTGGTCCAACACAGGCCGGCAGCGCCACTTCGGATGGCTGATCTCGGAGGATCGAAGCACGGAAACGAACGAAGGATCGTCGAATCGAAGCTCTCACGGATGGATTCTGATCTCGTTCGTCAGAAGAAATTCCTCAGAAAAACACATATATTTGTATAGGGGCGGGGGGACCCTTGTGGCCCTGGTTTGGGTTGACGGGATTTGACTGGTGGCCAACTGCCCGAACCTTCCCCCAGGGGGGGGTTCGGAACGCCGGTGGGCGGTTCGGTCGGACTGAGCGTCTGAGTCACCGACGTCTTTCTGCACGAAGTGGGACTTGTCCTGCGGAGGGGGTCTTGGGATGTCTTGGGTCAGTGACCGGAACTGCAAAGGTCAGCAGGGTAGAAAAAGGCCAGAAACTGACCAGCAGCTACCAGCTATCGTAAGCACTCACTTCCTCCCAGCTACCAGCCTTGAAGGGCTTGCTGTGATGATGATGGCCAAAAATATCATAGTTGGGCACGGTGTATGGTCCCTGGCGTGTTTGAACGTGGCATGAAAGTGGAACAAGACACCATGGTCGTTCCTGACTCGTTTCTCACGTGGTTTCTCCAAGAACATCGAAAGGGAGACGTCTTTCTCCGAAGCTGCAAGTTTCATTCAGAAAGCATTCAGTCAAGTGCCAAAGCGACCGGCTCCGACATGGCGCAAGAAACCCATCCAAGTGGTGTGAAACAGTGGACGTTTAAAACTTCTGGCAAAGGTCTACAGGGGTTCAAGTGTCGTGTGTGTGTGTGGCTAATGTGAAAAAACTGTCGGGCTAACTACCTCTTCTCTCTATCCTTTGGGCCGCACCAACAAACGAAAATCTACAAAGCGGTCTCTCATGGCAAGCTCACCATGAGCTTGACGACAACAAGTTGCTGCATACCACGCATGGTTCCTTCAGCTCTTTTCCCACGCCTGCCAGATGATGAATCAGTGAGACGGCTGCTCAAATAGCAGGCCTATGGAAAAAAGCTAAAGAGCTGTTGGGCTTACACTGTAGCTGGACACAATTCAACGGATGGAAGCTTGACATCTTCGACGTCTCTGCTTGAAAATGTAAATGACATCGGCATTGAAATGGTATGAAATCTCAAGCAGCTGATGCGACGATCGTGGCCCATGAAACAAATGTCACACTCGTAGGATCCGAAACAATGTTTGAAAGAAAAAACTCTGCGGAATCCCCCAAGCAACTCGCTGCAAGAGTAGTTCAACCTCAGAAATACGAAGCTAAAACACTCAACGACTTAGCAGGTCAGCGGCACCGGCAGCCAAAGAACTGACAATGGCTCCAAGTTGTTCCCCGTCTCACACAGTCCACGAGCATACCCTGGACCTATGGCAGTGCCTATAAAGCCCAGCGTAAACTCGCTGATGCAGGCGATGGCTGACAGCTGACTGATGAAGCTCATCTCTCTCAGGCCGTGCAGAACCAATGCTGGCACCAGGGCCCTTTCCTGTGAGACGGAGGAGCTTTTGACAAAAAGGAAGCATCACCCCATTTAACCAAAAAAAAATGAACTGAGCTACTGTCCCCCGAAAATGTTCCATCAAAAAACCGACCCCAACTTTGGCCTTTCTTTCCGTTTTGGGTTCTGCGCACCCCCCCCGGCTCCGCGCCTGTCCCAGGATCCGCCGCAGCCGCGAGTGCCACGAGGAGCGACGGCCGCCCACGGCGTGCACGGAGCCCAGCAGCTCAGGCGTCTGAGTCGAGCAGACCACGTCCATCTTCGACTTCGTCGCGGATTTCTCGGACCTGAACTCTTCCAGTCGCCGCTCCTGCGGAGTTCGGTACAGTCGGTACAACCGCTTTCGGTGGGATGTCTCGGTGAAGAAAAGAAAGCTCGGTGCGAGGTCGGTGGCTTTCTGACAATGTCTTCTTTGAAGTAAGGCGTATCCTCTGATATAAACCCGAAATTGAAAAGCAAAGCTGAGCATGAGATGCCCAAGACTCCCCGCTATCCTGCAAAATCTTAGGAGCAAGGACGCTACTAGTAGCTCCTGGCATTACTACTAGAAGCAATGTTCGCTACTAGGAACAGAGGGCATCGCAGCCCGAACGGAGCGATCGGACGCTACTAAGTGGCACTGAAACCAAACAAATTCACAACCTGACCTCCTCGGCGGATGACCGCACCGGACGAAGCTCCACGCTGATCAGCCTGGTAGGATCATCGGAACGTCCTGGTTGACTGTGCAGCACCTCGGGTGGCAGAGGGCCGACCGGCAGCCACTCATTGATCACGATGTAGTCCTCTAAGCCCTCAAGGAGGAAGAGAACGGGCAGCGCACAAGTCGCTGAAAGATTGAAGATGGGCGCATAGGGTCCATCCCAAGAGATGTCAACGTAGTAGATGGCTCTTGAAGCTGCAAGGGCTAAGGGCACGATGAATCGGATATAGCCCCCATAGATCTTCACTTCATCATGAAGCTTGGACCAGGCAGTGGGCGCTGCAATGGCTAGTGCTATGCGTACTCCCAGAAGCCTTTTGGACAGTTGGAAGGCCAACCACCGCATCCATCCAAGTCGAGCAAGGACGTTCAGGGTGATCGTCAAAAATGCAGACCCCAGCCATGTGAACTCTCCCCCACGCACAGCGCTCGAAAACATTCCCACAAGGCGCGCAGACTCAGCATAGCTGTGGGAAGCAATAAGCATCCAAGGCATATTGATGAGAGCTGTGTCGCCAGGGACTGCAGGGCGCTTTGCAACGACAAAGGCTGAGTAGATGGTCTTGGCATAGAGGACGCATGCAGGCTCAGCTAAAGCAGTCGCGATGGGCAGGAACAGGGTGGCCGCTGTCTGCTGCTCGCTGTCAAGCAAGAACGTGTAGACCAGGATGATGCCAGATGCAAGTGCTCCAGGACCAGCTGTTCCTGAAATGTTTGCCAAAGTAAAGCCCAGACACGCCGGAAATCGGCGGTCAGGGTGAATGCCTCTGGTTCGGTAGTACAAAAAGCCTGGACCTAGAATGCCAATCACCGTGCCGGCCAGAATGGACGAAGCCAAATCACCTGCTTGCAAAGCACTTGCTCCGACACAGACCACAATTCCTGCAAAAATGCCTACGGCGTGACTGAGGCACGTGGGTGGCAGGCCTGCAAAGCTGAAGGAAAAGGTCTCGCTCAGACCCCACGAGCAAAAAAAGCGCACCATTGATCAACACCAACAAGACCCTCCACCATGGAAAGTCCCCGTTTTCAGCATGCCTTTCGAAGTGGATGGAGACTACCCCCCGAGCAGTATGCCATAGCAGTAACAGGACAAAGGACAGCATCATATAACGTAAGGAAAAGGTTCCGCAGGCTTTGAGATCCGGGTTGATGACCTGAACATCGAATTCCTGGGCCACCTGCATATCCGGATTTAAAATCACCTCTCCGGACATCTCAGCCTCAATGCGGCCTTCTCTGTCTAAAAGACGGATGTGATGCATGCGCCCATCGGTCCGCAGAATGTCGAGTGTTTCGTCTGCCTCCAATCGAAACGAATCCGGGCCCGTGGTCGACCAGTACGTGCGGAAGGTGCTTCCCCCAAAGCGCTTCGCGAAGTTCGTGGACTTCCGTTTGGGCGGCTGCCACAGAAAGCAGCCCTCGAGATCTTCGAAGGCTCGGACCAAGACACGACCGCCACGACCGTCATCGGTGAGAACGTGCAAGAGTCGACCCCCTGCATCCAGCCGCCTTTTGGCCAAGACCTCTTCGGCCCGGGTCCCAGGACCAACCACAATCAGGCAGTGATCCCGATAGCCTTGTCTGTCCAATGTCAACAAGTTGCTCATTGGTCATTGCTTCAGGATCAGGTACTAAAAAGCTTGAACCTTCAGCCGCATGAAGCATCGACAAATGATTTTGCCTGAAAAGGCAGGTCCCTGAAGTATGTTCCACAATGGCTATGGAGTGCCTCTGTTTCCCCTATCCTTTCATTCCATAGTACCTCGGATCGTCCCAAAGCTACCATGAAATAAACATCGCCAAAGCATCAAAAGCCAGTTGTAGTCCTGTTTGCGCAGTCTGGCAGCTGAAACAACTGGTCACCTTACTGCATCCACACCAGACCAAAAAAATGACATCAGTTTCCAGTCAAATCCAATCATACATCAAGAAGCAACCAACAAAAGCATGACGCAAAGTCAAAGAACAGGCCCACAGAACAGAATTATGCAAGTGGTGTGCTAAGTTCAAATGCTCTAGCGCAAAAAACAGCAGGTCAAGATAGTAAACAAGTCTTGTCTTGGCCAATTATGTTGGAAAACTCGGTCCACCAATGATTGTGTGTGCAACCGAACAACAAAAACCAAAGGAACTTGCCATGCTGATTCAAAACACATGTCTTATCATACACTCCGCACTGCATAGATAAGTGCAACTTTTGCGCCGTCAGTTTGACTTCAGTTGTCATCCTTTCATTTCGTTTGTGCGTGATTCAATGTGATGGTATTGGCGATATGCAGGTCGTTTCGCAACGACAACCGCCCGTGGCTCAGGGACAGAGGCTTCAAGGTGCCTCTTCTGACAAATTGTTTAATTATGCCTTGCACGCATGCAATTTACAAGCATTGTTGGACCTTTTTCGACACCCTTGAAACTGACTTTACAAAGTGTTTGATCGAGACAACACTTGTCAATTCAACGTTTGATTTCACAAAGCAAGACATCAGCGCTCCTTTTTTTCTCTTACGAGACATTGGGGTGCGGTGCACGGCCTGTAGGCCACTGGGTCTGGCTCTGTGAAACTTGTGACGAACTGCTTGCTTGAAATGTGCGCTTGGATCGCACTGCTTTCGAACAAAAGAGCCTGAGTGCTCAGAAGCGAGGAATAGCCAAGGTGTGGGTGGGTGGGCGCTTTTGGGCAAACGAATCGGCGCGCCCACCCACCCAGCACTTGAACCAGCGCAAAGCGAAAGCGAATGTGAAATCCGGGTGCTTCCACCCTAAAACTAGAAGTGACAACTCGATCCCCTACGGTGAGCTTCATTGTCAATTCAACGCTTGATTTCACAAAGCAAGACATCAGCGCTCCTTTTTTCTCTTACGAGACATTGGGGTGCGGTGCACGGCCTGTCCCCCTTCAAACGCAAGCACCCCAAGATCTCGCAAACACTGCATGATGTCATCGAACGAAACTTTGGCTGGCAGGCTCTCGGACAATTCGGGTTTGAGCATGGGATGCGCTTCTCCTCTGGAAGGGAAGTCACTTATGTTGGCTTCAGTAGGCACACGAGCGAACCAAGCCTGAGAACTGTTTAAGGCTTCATGCTCTAGATGGATGCGCATCAAGGTCTGCGCAACGTCACCTTCGGCAGAACCTTTTATGAGGGAGAACCTGACGGCTTCATTGTCACCGAACCATACTTGAAGGCCACACGAGATTTTGCTGTTCCAAAATTTTAACGCAAGGACTCCGGCAAACAACTCTAGTTCATAAATGATGGTGTCTTTGGCGGAGGCACCAAGCTCTGGACAAGTCTTAGAGTCAACACTGAACCCAAACCAAGAGACACACTCACCTTGGTCATTGGCAAGAACACCTCCAATGCTGCCTGTTTTGTTGCCCTGCTCATATGAAGCATCGGAGTAGATGAACCGTTGTGCAAGCCTGTGAGCACGAACCACTCGTGGTTTGCCTGAGTTCAAACGTTCAAGCATGAAACGAAGGGCATCTCGCAAGCTCTCATCGATTTGCTTTTGGGCCCCGTAGGCATATTCGATTAGCTTACTTAGCACTAAGATCCCTAAGCGACCGTGGACGAAGCTGTCTGCAAATCCTAGTTTACCTCTAAGCACCAAAGCTTCGGGACGCGTCAACGTGCCTCGGTCCAAGGCAGCTTGCAACAATTCTTTCAGCTCCAGCTTTCGTTGCTCAGTGTTCTGGATCATCAACTTTCGCTCCGAGGACAAAGAAAAATCAAACACAACACCGAGGGCACGGCACAGAGTGGAGAACTCCGTTTTCTTTTTCCCTTCCCGGGCGAACTCCCAACCTGTCAGCAAGAAAACCAGCTCCATGGCGTGCTTTGCACTGTCCTGAGTCTCGGCCCTAGAAACAAGAACAAAATCGTCATAGAAGTTGGTGTTCATTACAAACAGTCCTCTCGCAGCGATGAAATGAAGCATTTTCGCAAACCGCAGAAAACAGTATACACTATGAGTAGCCCCAAAAGGCAAGGTCTGCATCTGATACACTTCAGCCTGCTCCGTTTCATGGTTGAAGACGCTGAAGTATGCATACTTGAGATAGGACTCCCGGATGGGAATCTGTCGGTAAGCGCTCTTTAGATCATATGTCTTGGCAACCAAGGAACTGTCAAGCTGTCTCTCCGCACAGTACCTGAAATATTGGTTTGCCAAGGCCGCCAGCGTGTCATACGCAGATCCACTTTGTTGTGGGCCGCACAAGTATCGTTGATTCCGCTGACAGAATAGTCGTCGATCACTCGAGCCTTGCTGCTTTGCTGCAGCAGAAACCTTCTGGAAACAACGGCATCCTTCTCGAGCTCCTGCAGTTTGAACGGGCCCGAGTGGTGGTCCTGGATGAGTAAAGACAGTACAGACGTGTACAGTGATTTTTTTTTGCACGAGTGGAGGCGCTGTGTGTGCAGGTTATGCACAAGTCACCTTAGTCGAGTGAATAGAGAGTTACCAACCAGGTTGCAACCCAACTAAGAAAAGAGGAAACACAACCAAGCCCCCCCAAAACCCAAAACCCACCAAACACCCAAAAAACACCGGAAAGGGAGCAACCTGTAAAGTAACTCGAAGTGCCAAGAAGGCATGAAGAGAGGTGAAACAGGGGCAGTGAATTCAGCAAAGCACTCAGAAGTTCTTGTCCATCGACGAACTGGCAAGCAGGTGAGCAAGAGCAGGCACATCAAAGCAAGATCTGCAGCCCACAAAGGTAACCATCAACCATCTGCGGTTGATTTATTGCCAGGACCTTGCTTGGACAGGCTTTGCATCAGAGCACGAAAGAGTCTCATACCGACATCAATGTGCGCTTACATGCATGGTCCACAAGATTTCATCTTGGACTCGTTTTAGGTCAGATAACCTGCTTGACGGCTGGCAGCAACGAGCCTCGTGCAAGCCAAAGAGTGACTACCTGGGAAGACCACAGTCCCCATGCTCGGAATGTCCAACATAGCGATAGTGAAGACCGTGTAATGCCACTGGCGAGCTTTCAAAAAGAGGCCAAGGGAGTTGCTTCCCCGTACCTCCCCCCCGAGGGGGAGGCAACAAAGGCAGCACGTCAAACACTCCACTCCAGAAACGGCTCATCACCGAGAGCAAAAGCAAGACATGCTGCGGGGGAAAGGCAAAATCCTTTGAAGTGTGCTGCAAGAAAGTCGCAATTGGAAATCTGACTACATCTTTCAAACGCGGCCAGGTAGTATCGTGAATGACAGAACCACCTGACCCTGCGTTGCCATTCAGCCTCCGATAGGGCATTGTGCCACGGAATCACATAAGGCATTGCCTTTTTGTCCACGAGGCCCGCCAGGTATCCTCGTCGGTAATAGCTCCGGAGGAGGTGCTGAGGGGTGGCAGTCAAAGTACCTCTTTTGGCCAGAAACTGCCAGTTGGGCCTTGAGAAGACTACCGCCAGTCCTGTGAGGAGCCAATTTGGAGATAATCTCATACTTGTTGCCCGTACACCTGGCAGCATATGTGTCCTTGGCTCTGAGCAAGAGGCTTTGCCGAAAGGAGAAGCATCCTTGCCCCTCCGGCGCCACATACTTCTCATCCTCTTCCTCCTCAGCTCCCTCATCGGCATCCGTTGCATCGGCAGGCTCTGCCGTCGTGTGGTCTTGCGCTTGCGTTTGTGAGGCAGGCGCTACGTTTCCGCTATGATCCCTTTTCGGGGGAGCGGGAGGGATAGCCCCCCAAAGCCTCCAACAGGCGCTGGGCCTGGGCCGGGGGGCAGCACGGCTTGCCGTATTTCTGGCCACACTGGTACTTCAATTCGCAGGGTGCTCTTGTAGGTGGACTGAAAAGATGTCCAAATTGCCATCTAAGAGTCCTTGCTCATATGCCCCTTCGAGACTTGGTGTGTCTGGAAGGCCCGCAAAAGTATTAGAGGGACACAGGCCTTCACATGTGCCTACGACAATGTATGGGCTGTTAGTTTCACTTTCGCTGTTGTGCTTGTATTTATTGTCGTCCTCTGGGGTGGCATCTGTGAACTGCAAGTCTGTTTTCATTCGTTCCACTAGTTTGTGCACGAGTTGGACTGGGAAGTAGACATGCAGGTGGTGGATGGGGAACCCAGGCGAACGCACATCAACAAAGGAGGAAGTCACAACTCAGGAAATATACCTCCAGGAGGCGGATGACCAGCCGGGGCCAGTCGATGCTGACATCACCCATCTAGCAGAGCAGAGAGCAATGCAAGTGGTACTTCGGTACCAAATGCTGTCAGTCGAACGCATTACCCAGACAAGTCCCCACACTGCAGAGCCACCCACGGCGCCTCCAGTCAGCCTGTATGCTAACTTGCCACAAGAGTGGCCCCTAGCACGCCTCAGTGTGCAGCTGCGCCATATAGGGGTTTTGCTGAGGGTTACCCTCTACCGCCGAGCAGCTGAACTCAATTTTCGCGGGGTTGATTTTCGACACCTACCGCGAGAAGTTATGCGAAGCATCTGCAATGACTTCAATCTCGTCGGGGAATTGGCCAGACGGCTTGCGTCACTTTTTGCATTCCTTAAACCAGCCCCGGGCACTGACACACAAGCAGACCGCCTAGGACTGTCGCTATATGCAGAACCGGCCTACTGGCTCTACGGTCTCTTGTCCTTTTGTGCCAAGGCCTGTGAGTCCAAAATTGAGGAAGCAAATGGGGCCCCGGTACTGAGAGCAAAGGATGAGGGAGGCGCGCCAGACACCGAAGCCACAGGCCGGACCATAGCACTAACGCAGACAGTGGTGATGTCCTTTGGACGGAATCAAAGCCTAGGCAAGCCGGACCTCTCAGTAGCTGCCTCTGGCGTTTGTGGGTTTGCGGCACCAGTTGTGGACGGCCTAGCCGCAGCGATGCTTTGCAGGCCTGTAGCAGGCATTGGCGGTGTGTGCAGCCGAGACTGGAGTGCATCG